AGGGGTTGCAAATGCACCCCTACGAGGGCGCAGAGCGAAATCTAGGTCAAACGGGCGGATTACACTTGGCGCGCAAGGATACCCGGAAGTAAGGTTCGGAGCCAAAAGAAATTTTCACCCCAAAAACACCACTTCCTACACTATTCAGCCATGTTAATGTTTAATGACACTTCGTGGCAGTTTATGAGAAATGTCACCTCAAACTTGGACCCTCAAAACCCTTTCGTCACTTTTTTTACAACGGACTATCACGGACCCCGGTCGCGCAAGAACTGGGGTGTGCACCGTTAAGTGCATGTAAAACTTTCTCTGCGTGCGGGCTGCGGATTTAGACCCGTACTGTCGTGCGTTACGAACCGTACGTAATGCTACGGTCACAACCCGCCGGATGTGCTTCTGCGTGCTGTCTACGTGCAAAAACGTGGGCAAACGTAGGGTATCCGTGCGTGGTGAGTACCGCCTCCGTACGGAATCCTACAGATTTGGGAGCACGCAGACACGCCGTAGAACGTTAAGTGCATGTAAAACTTTTTCTACGTGCGGTCTGTGGATTCACCACCCGTGCGTGCGAGTACGAGCGACGCGCGTGCCCCGTACGTGCCGTGCGGAAGAAGCACGTGTGAGTACGGCCTCCTTGCGGTAACTTAGTTGCAATCGCACAGAGATCGTACGTTGTAAGCACGTACAACTCACTTACCACTTGCGAAACGTACGATTCACGCAACCGCTCACGGCCAGACTTGGCATGCAGACCACACTACTACACTTTGTGCAACCGTGCGAGTGACGTGCGTAGACGCCACTCCTTCCCCACGTCTTCAGAAAAAACGTAGCAGACGTAGCCTCCCCAAAAACGTACGGAGAAAAGCGTACGGCGGGTTGTGACCAAGGCTTAAGCAGCACGTGTGAGATTTTATCCTGCTAAAAACAACGATTTGCGATTTGGCTATAACCCCGTTTAACCCTTACTCAATTCGTTGTGATCAGTACTTGTGACAATGAACACGTCTATCTAGACTCGCAGGATGCAAGATGTATCACAATCACTTCTGGATGCAATGAACTGTAAGTTGTTTGTTTACTTTTAGCAGGCATAACTGAACTATGAACTTCCACATCTGACATGTGGCTTCTGCATCAAAGATGGCTACCCTGTTTGTTTACATTATACGGTAAGGACACTATTGAACTTTGAACTTCCAACGATATGACACGTAATGCCAGTCTTAAGAACGATAAACATGACATCCTGAGTGTTGTAGCCGCAAATTTAACACTATCTTTGATTAAACAACTTTCTGTTCAGTCAGGTCTGCAACTTTATTTCCTTATAAAATATCTAGGAGCCATGGCTGTACGATGTCGTATGCCTACAGGATCTGGTCTCATTATTTAAGGGTCATCTACGTGCTACATGAACTATGCTATTCTTTTCCAGGCATCAAAGGAAGCTGGAAATAAGAAAGATTGACCAAAAAGACAGCAAAATGCCATAGGAGATGGTCCGCTAAAGAAGTACAAACAGAGTGCTATACTGTACTTTTTTTAGCGCTAGTGGCCTAACACCCCTGGAAAGTAATCTTTTAGCCAATCTAAACATGGCTAAACGTGGCCCTGCACTATGCCTTCTGATAAAAACGAGGGTTTTTCAAACTTATATATCTCACAGGCAATTATCAGCATATGTAAAATAAGCTGCATTTTGTAAAATTGTGTGCATTTCACTCATTAAAGAGAAAAATTGTCACAAGGTATCTAAGACGGACACAAACCCTGTTTATCCAGTCCCTTAAGGACACACCCACTTGTGATGGTATAATGGGCGTACTGCCAAGCCGCGGGTAGGTAGAGATAATATAGGGTGTTTACGTTCTGTGTACAAATGACCTTCATGAAAACAAGTTTACGTTGGAACCACTGCGATTAAGAAAAAAAAGACTTTGATTTATGATGATTGATTTGAAACGAGTGATTTGAAACATTTGAATTTCTCAATCACCGTTATTTAGGTTATTGTTCTGTATATTGTTTACCTCTGGGGATGTATAGGTTGAAGTCAACCATGGCTTTAGGCTAGATAGTATTATTAATAGCTAGACAGGCATCGGACGTAATTATTCTAGGTCAGAGAGCATTACACTGCTTTCCTTCGGCTCGAACGACTGGCGAATTGTCTTATCATTTCGTTAATTATCTCACCACTAATTCCGGTACAAAATGCGCGAGTGTGTGTCCTTACATATTGGGCAGGCAGGTGTACAGATTGGTAACGCCTGTTGGGAGTTGTACTGCCTGGAACATGGCATTCAGCCTGACGGGACCATGCCAAGTGACAAGACCGTCGGCTCTGGGGACGACTCCTTCAACGCGTTCTTTAGAGAGACGGAAGGAGGCAAATATGTTCCAAGGACTGTTTTTGTCGACCTGGAACCCACTGTGATCGATGAAGTCAGAAATGGGGCGTACAAGTCTCTGTTTCATCCTGAACAGATGATTTCTGGCAAGGAAGACGCTGCCAACAACTTTGCAAGGGGATATCACATCGGAAAGGAGTTCATTGAACAAATTTTGGCTGGCGTCCGCAAAGTGGTGGGTGTATCTATAGAATAAGACTAATAATTGGGTAGAAAATATCATCAAAGGATCTAAATACAAGTGGGGATTTTATCTCCATAATCAATGTGAAACGTTCATAATTCGTCAGTCGTAAAGGTTAGCATCATTCGGCGGGGTCGTCGAACTCTAGTTAGTAATGAAAAAAAAAACAACAGAAAACACCCCATCCCATTTATGACGTTTACAGTCAGCAACATTCCACACAAGATGTCTTGGCACTGCAAGCCTTTACTACATCATACAGAACGCTAAAATGTGCAATTCCGACATTTCGTGTCCCTTTTTCTCTCTTTATTTTGATACCCTTTAGCCAAAAGGCTAGTCTTCCAGGGTTCAAAAACATACATACAACAAATAACATAGTAAAAACACAGGCATATAACACAAAAGAATATTTACACTATATACAAATGATGATACATGATCTAATCACGGAAAGTCTTCTGTTTGAACATCTGTCGAATAGCTTTCTTAAAAGTTAGATGTGCTGGTCAGTGTTTAATATGTTGTGGTAATGTGTTCCAAACGTAGATTGCCCTGTACTGAAAGGTTCTCTTTTTGCTCGCGCAGTTTGCTTTTTATTCAAAAGAAGGATCAGTAGGTTCTTAACTTTCCTAATTTGGCAAAAAATTTGCTCATCTCATCGATTTTTCACGTCTTAGTTGTAAGATCAAGCACCTACAGGGCAGTTTAACAAAGAAGAAACAGGGGTCAATTGTAGGCTTTGTTTACAACTTCTAGCTGCTCTATACTCGTATCTACGAAATAGGGGTGGAATGCTTTCTGTGTTCGTTGCATGGTGATTAACTAAACCCGTGTGACTTTCTGGTAGATCAGAATCTTTTAATATTGTAATGTAGAGTTAGTTTTTAAAATCCATTATTGTCTCATTGTCTCTCATTGTGGGTCTGTAGGCCAGTACTGACTTTTAACCTGCCTTATGTCTTCTCCAGACGGAGAGCTGCTCGGATTTCCAGGGTTTTCTGATTCACCACAGCTTCGGTGGCGGAACAGGGTCAGGGTTCACCGCGCTGCTGATGGAAAAACTATCTGTACAGTACGGCAAGAGGTCCAAACTACAGTTTTCCATCTATCCGGCTCCCCAGGTTAGTAACAGCTGTTTATAAATGTCCTGACACTTTGCTGTGTGATATTATAGTTCATTTAAAATAACAGATAAGTGCATGGCCTTTTTGCAAACCCCATTCTAAACAGTCGTCAAGAATCGAAAGTTGCCCATAGATCAAGGCATGGTTAAATGGTTATCTAATGTGTTGCCTCTTATTGCAGATGTCCTCAGCAGTGGTTGAGCCGTATAACGCCGTCTTGTGCACTCACGCCACGATGGAACACTCCGACTGTTCTTTCCTGGTAGACAACGAGGCCTTGTACGACATCTGCTGCCGCGGGCTTGACGTTGAGCGTCCCACCTACACCACCCTCAACCGTATGATAGCGCAGGTCATCTCGTCCATCACCGCCTCCTTGAGGTTTGACGGCTCACTGGACGTGGATCTTGCCGATTTCCAGACCAACCTGGTGCCGTATCCACGCATCCACTTCCTTATGTCCGCCTATGCCCCCATCATCTCGACAGAGAAGTCTTACTATGAGGATATGTCTGTTAGTAAGATCACTCACAGTTGCTTCGAACCAGGCAACCAGATGGTAAAGTGCGACCCTCGAAAAGGTTGGCACGAAAGTAGTTGTCTTTCAAAGTACAGTTTATAATATGTGGGTATTTCTACAAGCAATTCATGTTTCTTTATTTCCCTATCCTTCCTGCTTTGATGTAACAACAAAATATTTATCCCTGTGCAACACAAACTCACTGTGCAAGGGTCTGTTTGGATCCCCTTTCTGTAGATTTTCTGGGTTCAAAAAGCAGTCGTATAAATATGTATAATAGTGTTATATAGGGGCTGTAGATTTTCTTTTTACTATTAAGGCCATGCATGCCGACTTCATTTTATGGATGACATCCTCTGAAGACCCCCAAACTAGTGCGCGCGGGCAAATAAAAAAAATTCCGCCTAAAAATAAAAATGCACTAAACGACAAGCCGGCACATGCTGGCTTTTTTGCGGAATTTATGAATTGGCAATGTACTTACTGATTTCTTGAGTCGTGGAGCTTCGGTAGCCTGGGTGCGCTGCTCCGTGATTGTCGCTAACTACCATGGACTACCCAGGCCTAGAGCGAGGCCAGAGGACGTGGTCTTTTATTTTTTTGTTGTTGTTTTGAGAACAGGCAAAAATCAATGCGCGCGCGGATGTCTTCCATGAAATTAAGTCGTTGTGGCCTAAATCAGATATAAAGGAGCTCAACGTTCTCCGTCATTGTTTAAACCAATCACTGAAGCCTACAACACCACCTACAAGACCAGTCTAAAAGGGTTTCTAGAGGTGTAATTTAGGCATACGACGTTTTTAACAATGTAACTTTATTCTGTCTTTGAAGGGAAATACATGGCGTGCTGTTTGATGTTCCGAGGTGACGCCGTACCTATGGAAGTGAACGCTGCCATCGCCAACATCAAGGCTAAAAGCACAATTCAGTTTGTAGACTGGTGCCCGACAGGCTTTAAGGTGTGTACTTTCATGCACATTCATATGAGTGTTTGATAAATATCTGTAACTGTATCAGATTCTGTATTTGTATAGCAGAAAAACCTATTTTTGGCGTAGCACACCGGTCACATAACTTCATATGGCGAATCTGTGCGTGTTTGGTAGCCTCCATGAGCACTCTCTCAATGAGTATGAGTATGTGTTAACTATTAGTGTTTCAAAACCTCATACTTTCTCTAAACAACTATTAAAGGATGCACTAATTTGGTGATATTTTAGAAATTCATTTTTTTTATTTATCTGTCTCTTTATTAAACTCCAATACACCACATAGGTTGGAATTAACTCTCAGCCGCCCACCATCGTGCGTGGTGGAGACCTGGCCAAGGTGAAGCGGGCCGTGTGCATGTGGAGCAATACTACCGCCATTGCCGAGGCCTGGGCCCGTCTGGACCACAAGTTTGACCTGATGTACGCCAAGCGTGCCTTCGTGCACTGGTAAGATATCGTCTACATGCAATATTTCCAATATTTAGTTTCCAGTACTAGTCTTCTTTTTTTACAATCGCGTATGGGTAAAAAAATCCACCCTAACCTACTTCCATGAATTGGACTCCTCATAATTGCATTTCAAACTCAACAGTTAGACTGGCCGTTCAAACATGAAAAAAAATCAGTGTTTTATATGGGTACAGAACGTTTGCTTCTCGTTGTATATATGTGTACCTCTATGCCTCTATTCCTGGAAGAGTAGCAGCCAAAAGCCACGAAGGAGATATTTAAGCTGCAATATGATCTACGGAGATATACATTATGTTATTATAAACTTAGAATCTTAGCTCTACAATAAGTGAACGTGGGCCAGGGTGAATCTTAATTAGTACCGCCATGGTATAATTCTGGTGACTTTCAGATAATTTCTTCTTCCCAACACTTTTACTACCAGTCTAGAGATATGACTCGTTTCAATATCGCCTTTAAAGTCGGTGGGATTATTTCTAATAAAATACGGATACCCCCTTCCTTCTTGCTGTAGGTAACGATGGAATAATCATAAGTGCGGAAAGACGAGTCCACATAATGCTTTGCTCATGAACATCAATAGAACAGAAAAAACATAATTATGATACACAGTAAATAAACTATACTTTATTTACTGTTTAGCATAATTAAAAATTATGTTTTTTTCTGTTCTATTGATATTGATACCTCCCAATTTATATATCTCGCAAAACGTCGGCCATTTCATACTCCACTGCACACGGAAAAGAAATCAAACCCAACAATAACTACAAATGTATATATAAAGTAGCATTAGCATCACTTATTATCATTCTACTGTTTACTGTTGTTATCATGTTCTTGCAATTAGCCCTCGGGCATGAATTTGCAATAAACTTTCTTTCTTTCATTGATGTCTTTCTGCACTTATGATTAACCCATCGTTTAAGTGTTATATTTCTGACTTTAAGTTCAGTTTAGGATAAGGGCATGTGTAATGTTTACAGGTACGTAGGGGAGGCTATGGAGGAGATGGAGTTCTCCGAGGCCCGAGAAGGAATGGCGGTCCTTGAGAGGGATTATAAAGAGGTTGGGGCCGATTCCTTTGAGGTCGACGGCAACAAAGACGAGGAATATTAGTCGGTAAAATCGGACCGTATCGTATCGTGTCTACTTTTCAACTAGTGTCTACGTCATGATATTGACATGGTGTTTAATAAAGCGAAGGTTCTGATATTAAGTTGAGATTTACGACATAATATATTCAATCTTTCACTTACTTTATCTGAAAGACGTGTCAGGACCACAGGGAAAGTACAATATTGCCCCTTGACCAAATTACGTCTCCGCTCAAACTACATGCACCTTAATAGTAGTATCTAGCCTAAAGGCATGGTTGGCCTCAACCTATAGCATCCCCAACTGTAAACAACACACAAAACTAGACACTCAATAACTGTTATTATGAAATGCAAATTTTTGAATCAAACAAGGTATTTTAGCGTCGGTATGTCATGTTTCTAATCGCAACAGTGTTCATGTACAACTGTGTGTGCGCACGTGCGAAGGTCACATACAATTTTGAAACGCCCTCAACTATCACCCCAGCCATAACTATATGTCATTGTCCTAACACAAACAGGGTGTAGTCCTTTAGGGCGTACTGGTCAAACAAAAGACCTCGCTCGATTAGGTAGATTTAGACAACTGCGTGATAAACATGCGACGTGATCTGGAAGGTTCCCCTATAACTTGTTTGTTTACTTCAAGCGTGGGCATAACTGAACTATGAACTTCCACATGTGACATGTGAGGTCACATGTACAAATATGGCTAAACTGTTTGTTTACTATATATGGTGAGGGCACTAGTGAACTTTCAACTTCCACATATGACACGGGAGGCCATTCTCGAGTCATCCGACTCCTTTATTACGAGTGTTGTACCCGCAAATCTGATATTATCTTTGGTTGAACGAATTCCTGAGGAAGCTATAGAACGTAATTTGGCAACGCACGGAAATGGAGTTACTATTTCGTTACCGACGGTCACCTGGTATTCTAGACAATATGAAGTATAATATGAGAGTTACATGGCAAATAGGTTGTCATTTAACGTGTGTTCCTATTATTACCAGTTCCTCATATATGAAGTTATGTTCACAGGCCTAGCCCAAAAGAATAACTATTTTTGATGGAGGTAACAACGTTACAAGAAGCGCTAGGTAATGTAAACTACACGTCGGTTGAGGGGTCTGCTTATTTCAAAATATTCGACAGAAAACAAAGAAGTAAACAATTAACGCTTTCAATCTGCAAACGTTCCATTTATTTTAGTAAAAGTCCATGTAAAAATGCTGGCAAGTGCTTGTGGACGTACAAGATGGGTTTAAAAGGGCTACTGTTTGAGACATTTTCTCTGTTTGCTAACTACTATACAATAGTCGATAAATATATGTTCAAGGATATTTCAGCAACAGGACTAAAACGTAGTATCATGGATTATTTCAAGTTGAAATCGTATGGGTAAAAACAGTGAAAATTGCTATAGGCATCATTGTGACCATCTCGTGCAAGATAGACTGAAAACTCTTTCAACTCGTACGTCTTTTCCGTCAGAGCTGGGAATTGCGTGCACATTAAAATGTAGTTATTCAAAATACATGCCACATATGCAATCAGCGTCTTAGATAAGACAAGATAAGACATCTAAATTATGTAACTTTCTAAATTGTAAACATAAATGCAATGTTAAATATTTTTCAAAGTTTCAAAATGTCAATTATCCATACTTCAATTAAAGTTTATAACTTTAAGCTAATACCAATATTTCTGATGTCATATGTTTACTTACATCAGTTTCTCTCCCTTTGTAAACAATTTGCATTGTTGTTTTCCCTGTTTTTCTTTGGCTATCAGAATGTGCATGGGATGTGGACTATGAAAGCGTATATAAGGTTTAAAATTACCTAGAAAAACATCTATTACTGCCTGAAATCTATGTAACACAACTAGTATTGGTTAGCCTGGGTGTCAGCCTTGTTAGCTTTGCTCCGCTCTCCAAGATGCGCTTCCCGCCAACGGGTAGTTAAATATTGGTATAATTAATCAATCAAAGCAGTATAAGCAAAGCAGTATTTCGAAAATTACTTTCAGGTGTGATTATAGTCGTATTTTAGCTTTTATTCAATACAGTGCCTACGTACACTATGACGTAAGCGAAGCAAACAAAACAGTAGGTATAAATGTGCGGTTACATTGTGCAGACTAGAATTCCTCGTCTTCCACTCCATCGGACCCGAAGTCCTTGTCAATCTCTTCATAATCCTTCTCAAGGACCGCCAAGTCTTCTCGGGCCTCGATAAACTCCCCTTCCTCCATACCCTCCCCAACGTACCTGTCAAGAGTGTAAACTGCCGATGGTCAAACTGAACTAAAATTACAACACAAAACTCATTTTAAAGTGTTGAAATTGAAGATTAAATGTGTGAATTGATATTCTATAATAAAGAGAGAGTCGATAAAGCTAACAATGTGAATTGAAAAGCATATAAAATAATTGCACAAAGTTTTAAAAAGTGGCTAAAGTACCATGCCCACTTCTACCCCACCAAAGCGTGGCCCACAACTCCTGCCTGACTTCCCTACACCGATGTTCTTTACAGTTATATAATTATCACTACAGAAAAAAAACAACATATTTTTGACCAACTAGCAAGTGGCACCATCTAAATCCTTCCTTAAGGATTTTAATAAAAACAGAAAAACCCGTGGGAGCAGCATCAAGTTTACGAATAAATACACATAAACACGATTAGCCATGAACAGACTTGGTTTTTAAATTTATCATTCCCCAGCAAATCCAACAGAATTGTCCATTAGTATTGCTATCGTCAATACAGTCATCGCTAGTATAAGCGTCAACAATATAATGTATCGTTTGGGTGAGTTTGTATTGATCTGCGGGCGCATGTCAACAACAGGATTACTGGAAACCTTATGTAAATGATATCTTACCAGTGAATGAAGGCACGCTTGGCGTACATCAGGTCAAACTTGTGGTTTAACAGGGCCCAGGCCCCGGCGATGGCAGTGGTGTTGCTCAACATGCACACGGCCCGCTTCACCTTGGCCAGGTCTCCACCATGCACCACGGTGGAAGGCTGCCCATTGGCCAGGTCTCCACCTTGCACCACGGTTGGAGGCTGCCCATTGGCCAGGTCTCCACCATGCACCACGGTGGGAGGCTGCACCTTGGCCAGGTCTCCTCCATGCACCACGGTGGGAGGCTGCACCTTGGCCAGGTCTCCTCCATGCATTACGGTGGGAGGCTGCCCATTGGCCAGGTCTCCACCATGCACCACGGTGGGAGGCTTTATATTGGCCAGGTCTCCACCTTGCACCACGGTGGGAGGCTGCCCATTGGCCAGGTCTCCACCTTGCACCACGGTGGGAGGCTGCACCTCGGCCAGGTCTCCACCATGCACCAGGGTGGGAGCCTTTTTGTTAATGCCAACCTACATGTAGGTGGTGTACAGGAATACAATAAAAATTCCGGTTTAATCTGTGAGGTTTTTAAGTATATCTTGAGCGAATATGATTTATGTAGATGACCTTATGATTGACATTATTCCAGCACAAGAACATTGACTTAACAAATAAGTATTCTCCAACAGACTAACTATGCATATGCTGGATGAAAACAAAAAATATAGCCAAATAGGGACAATAATTTTTTAGGAGAGTTTGGTCTTCACAAAACTTTATTTGACACAACAAATGTACAGCGACTTGACCGTGCAGTGCACTTACTCCACTATTCATAAACCCTTTTAAATTTAGTCCATGGTCCAAAGTAGATTGGTACCACCTGAGGTGGGAAATTCTTGATTTTTGAAAAGAAGGGTGTCTGTGGAATATATTCTTAAATGATTGACGTTGCAGATCGACAGCTTTGACCTTGCTATCTATCATTCTGTACTTATAATACAAAGGGGTGGTAAATAATCAAATATGGATATTTTCTTGATGGACTGATAAAACGGGAGCCAAGGATTACAAAAATGTTAATTTTTTTCGTTTTTCGAAATGTCAAGTTACCCTTTAAAATTCAATTTTAAAAAATCGGTAAAAGATAGAAGGCCTAGATGAGGCTACAGGTATGATTGTTAACTTTTAATGGTATTTAACAAAACAGTACAGACGAATTTTCATGTACTGATGTGTCAAACGCATACATGTACCTTGAAGCCTGTCGGGCACCAGTCCACAAACTGGATAGACTTCAGGGTCTTGATGTTGTCGATGGCAGAGATCACATCCGTGGGAACTACATCACCACGGTACAACAGGCAACACGCCATGTACTTCCCTTTTAACATAGAGTAACGTTACATTACACACACAGTATCTTCACAATAACTGTACACAAACTGAGAGCTGTAGCCTGCCCAATGCGAGGGCATATATTACGACAGCAGTTACAACTATGAAACTATAAAAACTTCCCTAATTATGCAAATTAGGTCTTCATTAACATAATCTATATCCTCAGATGTTTTTTTTTCCGTTCTCAATTACATGTTACAAGTGTTTCATAGTCCTATTATGCTGCTTGATATACACTATACACTGGAACAATTATTTTAAGACTAAAAACTATCTGATTACCACAATGGCGTCTGATGCTTTGAGGATTGGTTCCCAAAATGGTGAGAACATTCATTTATTTTATTTCATTTCATTTCATTTCATTTATTGGTGATGCCAAACAACGCATTACAAGTGGGAGCCAGGCAGCCAAAGGCTGGTGGCGGCTGCCACTGGTACATACAACACAACACAGGACAAGTCAATTGACTGTTACACTGATATTTTAAAAGTAATGAAGAACCAAGAGCTCCCATCTCACTTTGGTAGGCGAATTAGCGTCGCCGGACTATGAGATGTGCGGTCTTCAGGTATTTGCTAAGGCCACACCGACTTAATTTTATGGATGACATTTTTCCTGTTCGCTGGACTTTTTTTATTCGCCCGCACTAGTTTGGGTGTCTTCTTTTATATCATCCATAAAATTAAGTCAATGTGGCCTAACTAGAGACACCTAATTAGGGTGTATAAAAGCTAATCGTTCTACATTCTGGTACTAACCTTTCCGAGGGTCGCACTTTACCATCTGGTTGCCTGGCTCGAAGCAACTAGCAGTGATCTTACCAACAGACATATCTTCATAGTAAGACTTCTCTGTCGAGATGATGGGGGCATAGGCGGACAGAGGAAAGTGGATGCGTGGATACGGCACCAGGTTGGTCTGGAAATCGGCAAGATCCACGTTCAGGGCGCCGTCAAACCTCAAGGAGGCGGTGATGGACGAGATGACCTGCCCTATCATACGGTTGAGGGTGGTGTAGGTGGGACGCTCAACGTCAAGCCCGCGGCAGCAGATGTCGTACAGCGCCTCGTTGTCGACCATGAAGGAGCAATCGGCGTGTTCCAGGGTGGTGTGAGTGAGCAGGATGGAGTTATACGGCTCAACCACTGCGGTGGACATCTACAGTCAATAGGAAGCAATATATTTATATTTCAGTCCATACCATGGTATGGATGAAATATATTGTGTTCTCTGATGTTTCTCCTTCTTCTCCTCCTCCTGCCAAACAGTCAGAGGGATTCAACTCTGCCATCATTCAGGCAAATGACTTGAAATTTGGCATGGAGGTAGAGTGGGACAATACCCCTAGGCGTTTTTTTTTTCATTTTTTTTTATACATGCCTTTGAAAAAATTTTATGAAGGTTTTTTGGGGCATTTTTCGCAAAAAAATGGATTTTTGGATCCTGAGCCCTGGTTTTACAACCAAATGATCTGAAATTCGGTATAAGGGTACCTTGAACATGTGTGTCTACAGAACAGCAGTCACATATTTGGCATACACCACTTCCAAATGACTCATTTGGGGGATCCCGGGACTTTAATGGCTATTTTCTGCAAAAAAAGGGCCAAAAGTGCTATACCCGTTCCATGTTCTATCTAAAGAATGTCACGTTCCATCTGCCGTTGGCCATGGAACACGTGTTCCATTGCGGGTTACTTGGGGTCACATTGCACGAAAGTCGTGCGTAATGACCCACACATTCAATTTTATGTGCCTGAGACCTTCAAAATGTATTAAATCTCATCATTGTTAGTATTTGCATACCTGTAATAAGATTAGTAAAGCTTTCGAGATTCAATGTGCTTGTTCTTGCATCTTTGTTCTCAATTACATACTTATTAGCTACTATATAATTCATTTATTTGAGAATCTTTGCCAGTTTTACACTGGGGTAAGTTTGGAATAGTCCACTTTTGCGTGGGAGGGAGATGGACTGAAATATGCTGTATTTGCTCCCAAGCAAATGTCGGCCTCTCTAGTGATAAACGTTTCACCATGCTGTGGGACATTGAAAAATCAAAAGGCAATTCTTACTTTATTTTGCTGACAGTTCAGATTCTGCAAATGACAGGGCACAAGAATTTCTGCATCTCTCGGCAAAGTGTCCTGACATTTGTAAACAGGTGTTACTCACTTTGGGAGCCGGGTAGATGGAAAATTGTAGTTTGGACTTCTTGCCGTACTCTACAGATAGTTTCTCCATCAGTAGGGCGGTGAACCCTGACCCCGTCCCACCACCGAAGCTGTGATGAACTAGGAAGCCCTGAAGACCTGAGCAGCTCTCCGTCTGGTGGAAACAAACAGGGCAGATAATGTCAACTCTGGCAAATAAAGACTTAAAGTAATAGCCGTCCTTTGAACCTTAACGAGATTCCTGGGACTTTATACCTTCGCCAAATGATGTTAACCCATAAACCAACGTATGGGGTCACAGTTGATCCCAGGTGTACATAAATATGTGTCATTTCGACATTTCTTGTCGAAAACGAAATTCCTCCATTGAGGTTGTTTTTATATATGTCTTATAACTTCTTATACGTTTGTGCTGAGATCTGCTCATTGTGATTGATTAACTTAGAAACCTACAAACTTTACGTGTGGTCCAGTGGTGTCTAAACTAATCCCAGTATTTTTAACACATGTAAGGCCACAGCAAGTAAATTTTATGGATGACATGCTCCACAGACTGCAAATCTAATGCGATAGGTGAAAAAAAACAAGGCGCCCCCCCCCCAAAAAAAACAAGATTCCTTCTTTGTCAAATTTCATTTCAGATTTAATAAACCTTCTTAAACAAGAAATGACACCTTGATTGTGCTACGTTTCCTGCCAACTATTATAACATTCGTTTGTCACTGAAACAACTTAAAAAATAAATAAAAGGTTTTCACTCATTGTACAAATGGTGTTCAAGTGTGTGATTCAATGGGAACATATAAAAAGGAATGAAATAGATCATTGCATCAAAATAACATTGGAGAATCAGGATTCCCTCAGTATTCATATATTAGAGTTTTTTCAGAGCTGTTTGTAATACAAACATGTATATTACCCATTTTATCTGTTCAACTGTACTTAGCCCGATAGGGCATGAATGTACAATAAAGGTTATTATTATTATTCAAAGAAGAAAATGCGTGGGCCCGTGCGTTTGGAAAAGACGCCACGCGCTTGGAAAAGACCCCGCGCCGTGGTTCATTCAAATTTGCTAGATTTTTACCTACGATTTTTGACCGTCAATTTTTGACCGACGGTAAGGACTTAAATATTTACCGTCCGACGGGACAAAATACCGCAAATTGACGGTAAAACGGGCGCTGGCTTAAGCCCTGCGTTTTGCACAAACACAGTTTTTTTGTGACTCTTTCTGTAATTTGTATGTATGTATCACTGTGCCTTTGTCACTATTGTTTGATCATTACAGACATTTGCTCTTTAGCTTAAATCACAGATGTTGCACTTCCTAGGTTAGTAATAAATGCATAAAAATAATTTATGCTAAAGATGACTTGTGCTTTTTAAATGTCCCTTGTCATCACTTGCATTATATACTAAATGATATTTATTGTTCAGTCGCCAGGGCTAGCCCATTGAAATTGATAAATGGCCTCTGCTTTGTTTGGTAGCCCTGACTGCATGTCTTCATACAGAGCAACAAATAAATCAAATCGAACATCAATGCGTTCTTATTACACATATCATACGTCAATTCTCAAAAAAGTTAGCGTCCAATGGTCTTAATTATGCACTCACCACTTTACGGATTTGATCCAACGTTTCGTCAATAATCCCCTTTCCAATGGAGTAATATCCTCTTGCAAAGTTGTTGGCAGCGTCTTCCTTGCCAGAAATCATCTGTTCAGGATGAAAGAGGGACTTGTATGGCCCGTTTTTTACTTCATCGATGACAGAGGGTTCCAGGTCGACGAAAATAGCCAAGGGAACGTGTTTGCCCCCTTCCGTCTCGTTGAAAAACGCGTTGAATGAGGCGTCCCCAAAGCTGGCGGTCTTGTCGTCGATTTGTAACTTCCCGTCAGGCTGTATGCCATGTTCCAGGCAGTACAACTCCCAACAGGCGTTCCCGATTTGGACACCAGCCTGTCCAACATGCAAGGACACACACTCGCGCATTTTTACCAAAATCAGCGGCGGTGATATTAGAGAAATGTTTTGAAAGTTGCTCCACACACTAGAGCCGAAGAAGCACTGTAATGTTCCCTGGCCTGAGATAATTGTGCGTCCCCTGCCTATCTAACTAATAATAGTATGTAGCCTAAAGACATGATTGGTTTAACCTATTGCACTTCCAGATGTAAACAATCTAGAAAACTGTAAAACTAAATAATTATGAATAGAAAAATTTGAATGTTTAAATGAATCAATCTATTTAGCTACATTTATTTATTTTTTTATTTCTAATGGCAGAGGTGTTAATGTAAAATTGTGTGTGAAGGTCACTCACAATGTAAACAACCTCTATTATCTGTATCTACCTTTGGCTTAACTGTGCGCCATTGTACTGTCCCAGACAGGGCGTGCCCCCTAGGGACTGGATAAACTGGATCCCTGGCTTACATAGTGTATGACAACTAATTTATGAACATAAAATGTAAACAAAAAATGTGCGTTCCTAAGTTTTGGTTTCGCCAGGAAACAATATTTTGACGCCTAACTATTGACTATTAATTGGCTCAAAAAACTAATTAGAGTTAAAAAAAGTAAGAAAAAAATCACTCGTCTTTATGTTTTGAGTCCAGTACAAGTAACGCCCCTGAAATACAATGGTGCGATCCAAATGTCAAAAACCGAGCTCAAAAATGATTGATGAAAATGGTGCGATCCAAATGTCCAATGTTCAAGCTCGAAAGTGCTGGGTGAAAATACCTGGTGCCAAAAAAAATGATGCGCTTAAATTGTCGCAAAGCAAGCTTGAAAACACTAGCTTCAGTTCAAGGTGAAAATGCTGTCTGGTGCCACGAAAATCCAAATGTCGGAAAGCAAGCTCAAAAAGCAGACATCGGTTTTCAAATTCGTATCGCCGCTGCAGCAATTCTTTTAAAGAAAAAAAATCTCTCATACAGTATCTATGCTCATAACTTGCGTGATCAGATGCTTGCCGTCCATCCTTTCCTTTGCCGTTCAGTTGCAGCCAGTGCGTGGAGAGCACTGCAGTTTCTTCTACAATCACTAGGTGGCACAGTTAGATAGAGCTGTTGAGCTGTGAGTGAGAAAAACAGGTGTCAGGATTTTAAAACCAGCCAAGTATAAATAATAAACGTTGCACTCCCTCCTCTTTAATTCAAAAATAATCATACCGGTCGAGAGAAATTTTTAGCGCAAACAGAGGAAAGGCTCTGTAAATGCAAAAGAGACGGTGAAACATTCAACATTGTGACGGAGAAGCAGCGTTAGGAGATCGATATCATCCCCCTCCTCCACCGAGAATGAGCGGAGGCCAGGCGCCAAAAACTACAGATTGTTAACATTTCCTTGCTAGTGATTCTGTAAATGTCTCTAAGATCTTAATCATTTGAGGAAATGTCAAGTCATTGTGTATTCGTAGTTCTCATCCCGATTTTCAAGAATTTGCTATCAACAAGAAGTTCCAAGCAAATAGTGCTCGCGGAACCATCCTATCCAAAACAATGTGCAAATTGCCAACGTCAGTACGTATGATGAGTGAAATAGTGGGTAAAAACAAAAAGATAACTTTATAATATTCTCACAAAGGTTTTTTAGAATTATCATATAAGATGTTTCAATATATATCAAGTAGCAACACCTTGAGCTATTTTATCGAAGCGTTATTTGTTAGATGGTAGTCCGGGATAGCTATTGGCGGCTCCCGTCTTGATATAAAAAGTGATATTTCTTCCCAGTTTAAATTACAAATCATCGTTTTAAATGACAATCTAGTAGTGTCATTTACTTTCGAATTGTTTACAGAAATGTGATTGACCTTCTTCACCCCCCCTCTCCGCGGTAATTAATGCACAGTCCCCGGCCGCGGTGTTGCCGCATTTCCCGCCAAAATGTCTGTTGACTATTACACATGAACAAGTGGAACAATATTACGTTTACCATGCATAATTCACATCAACTAGATAAGCTAAAATGAACCAACTTAAAGGATTTGCTCGTTTCCCCATTCATTAGGATATAGACGGGCTTCATGTCCGTACCGTGGCGACGAGCCTTGTGTTTTTGGTGAAGACATACACCAGGTCTACGTGTCAAATTTAAATCAGTAGTTTCAGTGAAATTTTGTCAAGAACATCTCAAAAGTGAGTGTTAGACGGCGCCATTTCTCCGCGAGTATTAAATGAATGAATATCGATATACTGTACAGGAGTGAATATCGCTATGCTGTAGAGGATAATAAATGAGTGAATATCGCTATACTACCGATAACAATGGAGGAGAAGCTTACCGCTGTGCCACCGGTCCGCTCACCAAGCGGTCAGGCCACCTATTCCATCAAGGTCTAGCTTGGCAATGGCGGGAAAAGTTTGTATGAAACTGATCTATTTTTAGACCACTGGTCTATTTTTGGATCACAATCCTGGTTTGTGATTGGTCCTTGTGGAAAGAGGTGGGGCTTCTGGATAGCAACACTTCGTGATTTGGGTAAGATTCTAATTTACTAATATTTTGCGTACTTACCTTTATGTGCACCCTGTGTAAAAAATATTTCAGCAAAGACACAACAAGATCGAGGACAAGTTATTATAAGTATATGGAGTCTTGTGAGTCCCTTTCTCTTTACGCTTCTCACTTTAAATTAAGTAGAAAAGAAAATTAAAAATACCCATAGGGTTGATGGTTAAAGCGTGAACTTAACATTTCTTGAGGGGTAGTTTAATAGTTATCAAAACGGTTTTAATCACGTGTAAGGCCACACCAAGTAAATTTTATGGATGACGTCCTTTGGAGACCCTAAATCTAATGCGAGAGGGCGAAAAAAAACAAGAAGGGCCCTAAAAAACAAGATGCCTAGATTAGAAATGTACTAAGAGACGACAAATGTTAGGACACAAATTGAATGAGGTGACACAGTGTAACAAGCAAGAAGTCTTTTATTCATCATCAAAACAGCAATAAATCAGGTGGTAGTTGTCGTCAGGCTGTCCTGTTTCTTTCATCACATTTTTGCAGGCCTGCAGAAACAAAGCATAAAATTGCGGCACTGTCGTCACTCTTTGGTCATAGTTACAGGAAGCGGAATTTCTTGTTTTTTTTTCTAGGAACAGGCCAAAATCACCGTAAATAATTTCATCAGGTTGGAAGATACTTAGGGTATAGAATTTTCTCCTTAAAGCTCTGAGGAAGGTGTCTGATAGACATCGAAACGTAAGCAGGTGAGAACCTTACTGGTTGTGTAAGGAGAAAATTCTATACCCTAGGCCAAAATCAATGCGCGTGTGGACGTCATCCATAAAATTTACTTGGTGTGGCCTAATCAAGTGTAATGAGACCGGCCAGTTCATGACTTCGTCGGACCTAGCGCAAAGGATGATGGGAGTCAGCACCCGGAAGTAAACAAGAGGAGAGCTGGTGTTCGTTCCAAGTTGTTAATCTCATAGTCATAGCTGATATAGCGCCCTAACTTTCTAACAAGAAAACGTTATATTGGCAGTCTATTATTTTAAAGAGACCCCAGGAGCCATATGGTGATCTTTTCGGTGTTGCCTCATGGCACAGTACGCCACGGAGTCCAAATTTCTTAATATTTCAAAGCGCAAGATTTAGCGCAAATGCAAAGATGTCTCGCCGAAGTCAGAAGCTGGTTGAGTTCGGGAAACCTCTGGTACTTGTGAGGGAGCCGGTGCCTAGAGCTCCCCCGGGAGGGGCCGTGGTGCAGGTAACTGTAGAGCAGTGTGCATACAACTTACGAGACTGCTGTGCTTTGAATATACATGTAACGTTACTAGAAGTCAAACTTTATTGCGCAACAATATTGTAGCAGGTACATAATGTTACAGCGTTGCTTCAACGTTCTATTCCAAAATAGAATAGAATGCTGCAACGTTCCCCCCTCCCATACAGTACTGCAGTTCATAGCCGTGGCGACTATTGATTCGGGCTTACATTGCATTACCCTCAGCAATAGTCGTGGAAAGATCCATTGGCAGAACTGCACATTTCCCGTTGGCTGCTCGATGCTCCGTTTTTGACCCGGTTTTTTGCTGTCCCGAGCTTCCCTACAATATAACTCCACAATTGGCCGGGTTGCGGATGTTTAGATCAGCCTAAATATTCCACAGCGCGACAGAAAAGTAGTAAAATAGCTAGTCGGCACAAGCTGGCGCCATCTTGGATATAGTCGGGAATGTCCGCTACCGCCGTCGGGAACGCTCGGTAGCGTCACGATTACCGAAGCCCGACCGAAAGCTCTCCGATTATAACCGGAAAGGCTACCGAGCGTTCCCGACGGCGGTAGCGGACATTCCCGACTATATCCAAGATGGCGCCAGCTTGTGCCGACTAGCTATTTTACTACTTTTCTGTCGCGCTGTGGAATATTTAGGCTGATCTAAACATCCGCAACCCGGCCAATTGTGGAGTTATATTGTAGGGAAGCTCGGGACAGCAAAAAACCGGGTCAAAAACGGAGCATCGAGCAGCCAACGGGAAATGTGCAGTTCTGCCAATGGATCTTTCCACGACTATTGCTGAGGGTAATGCAATGTAAGCCCGAATCAATAGTCGCCACGGCTATGCAGTTCAGTAGTACTAAAGTTACATACTAGTAAGTTAAACGATTATATTTTATAACCTAGCATTTATGTTAGCTTAATATTAAATCCGTAATCATTGTATAGTTGTCAGGGCTTGCCAAGTTAAACATATTTTAAGCCTAGCACCTCCTGCCGTATAAATATTTCATACATGTATCTGATACATGGTACCGCAACGGTGAACCTTTGAAACTATTGAACTTTGGACCTTCCCAGTTGTAGTTCAGAGTGTATTAAAATTCAATGCAGCATAATATGTGAAACACTAAGACGATCCAAAAAAATTAATTTTCTGGTCAATTCATTACAAAGTTATAATGTCTAATCAACCCAACTCCAGTGCAAAGAAGTTTCAGGAAGTGTATGTGCCAAAATATGTTGCCTTACAAGCGTGTTTAAAGGCTTGATACACAACTGTCAGCCATATTGTTTACATTTTGGTGGTTTGTGGTGGCACCACAAAATGAGTGTGCCTCGTTTAGGCTGTTTTGTCACCAACCATAAGTGTCAGAAATGTGAGATAATTGCACAAATATGTTAAAAGTAAATTACATTCACATGAATATTTCTTTAAAAAAATAGTCCAGTTTTTTATGAAATATTGTTATATAATTGTTGGAGTACAGGGGATAGGGCAATAATTTGAAGTAGATATGTAAAGCACGTCGGCAGAACATACTGCACCTGCGCGAAACCCGTAATGTATTGTACATAGCACTTTTGGCAGAACGTCTCATATAAGGTCGTATTCGCGAAATTCATATAAGGAAAACATCTCGTCTGCAGTTTACAAATGTTATGTCGGAAAAGATATCCTCTGCAACAGGCAACATTCTAATGCAACGTTGACCAAAAATCCATCGAAAACCGTGAAAATACAGGATTCTGTGCAGGCGCAGTACGTTCTGCCAACGTGCTGATATGTAACATGTTTTCCCTGACAGGTGGCCTTTGCCGGGGTGTGCCACTCAGAAATACATTCTGCAGACGGTCAAGTCCCAGGGCAGGAGCTACCACTAATTTTGGGTAAAACTTTATTGTCGTAAAAGATATTGTTATAACATCTCACGAACAGTCGAACACTAATCATAGTATGGTTGGAATGTTTTCAATACAACTGATAAATATCACAAGCATAAAATTCAACTTGGAGGAATCAAATCTTTAAGATTTAGGGCAGTGCATTGTGCCCCTTTTGTCACCTGTCTGATAGACTACTATCTTTTAATGATTTAGAGTTAAGATTTTCTCGGTCTGAATTCAGATTTTCTTAAAAATTGAAGTGTTTTTTAAGCTCATAACAGAAAATCACAATTATATAACTTCTTGATGACCAGTGGGCATGAGTGTGTTGATCAAAAATTATTCAGTAAAGTAATAGCAAAAATTTGTTTCTGTTGTACTACTAAGTACTAGTACACTGTTAGTGTCTAGAAAAAAGTGCTTCTTTTACAAATACAGGTTGTCTTGTCATTGTCTGCAGGCCACGAAATTTCTGGAACAGTCACAGAGATGGACCCTGCTGTAAGAACCGATGTGAAGGTCAGTATTAGTAATTCTACAACGTTAAATATGCTCTCACAATCACATACACTTTCAACATCCTAAAACACAAGAATGACACAATGTTGCAGCTCTTATTCAGGTCACTGCTGGTCCATTGTGTCAATTATGTATGATTTTGTTTTTCTTTAACTATTATCATAATGTTACAACTTACAATGCTTGTCAATCATTTTGGCATTTTACACCTTTAAGGCCACACCATCTTAATTTTATGGAAGACATCTGCATGCGCATTGATTTTCGTCTGTCCACACGTCCACCATGGCTCTGGCCTTGGTAGTCCATGGTAGTTAGCCGATGGTAACTCTGGAGGATGGCACCCAGGCTACTGGGGCCAATTCATAGATACCACAAAAAGCCAGCATGTGCGCATGCCAGCTTGTCGTATATGTCGCTATGTACTGCTGCAAATCCACAATACCAGCTTTGTATTCCAGTGTGGTTCAGTATGGTAACAATTTTTATTTTTGGCCGCAATATTTTTTATTCGCCCACGCACACTAGTTTGGGGGTCTTCAGAAGATGTCATCTATAAAATTAAGTTGGTATGGTCTAAACCTTTGCCAACAGCATGCTGCCCTAATGGATGACTAAGCTACTAGTATGGGAGAGAGTGAGAGTGGGTGAGTGAGTAAATAATCACTAAATGCATGGGTACAGCAAATCCACAAACACTTAGAAATATGCCAAATTATCAGAAATACCTGCACAGCTCCAATTTTTGCTGCACTAACCTGCATAAACCCAGTACATGGACCAGTGCAGGTTAGATGCAGGTAGACATCAGAAATACCTGCACAGCTCCAATTTTACCTGCACTAACCTGCACTAACCTGCATATACCCAGTACATGGACCAGTGCAGGTTAGGTGCAGGTAGACATCAGAAATACCTGTGCCGCACAGCTCCAATTTTACCTGCAATAACCTGCATATACCCAGTACATGGACCAGTGCAGGTTAGGTGCAGGTAGACATCAGAAATACCTGCACAGCTCCAATTTTACCTGCACTAACCTGCATATACCCAGTACATGGACCAGTGCAGGTTAGGTGCAGGTAGACATCAGAAATACCTGATCAATATGAGCAGTTCCAGTATTACCTGCATGTACTTTTATATGCAGGTTGGATTTTGAGCCCATATACCCTTTAGCAAAGAATTTTTACTATACCTGCAGATCATATGAATTTATATGTTATTTTGCATTGTCACAATGTAGGAGAACGTTGTATTGTCACTATGTAGAAGGGCTATTAATAGTATTTTTCACAGTTGAATTGTTGCATGTTTGTGCCCTGTTAGGTAGGTGACAGGGTGGTGGTGTACAGTATGGGAGGGTGCTCGGCATGTAGCAGGTGTGCAGAAGGAAACCCCCTGGACTGTCTGAACTATGTCAGGAACTCAAATGGAGCTTTCATAGATGGAGGGTGAGTGAGGAAGTTTGTCTTACGCTGAAAGCTTGATATATAGTTTTGAAGTTATTAAATTGTTAGTTCACAACATTGGTGTCCTTGAATCTCAACCACTATTTACATGCAAACACACCTGTCCTTGATACAGAACAATGAACACCATCCACACACACACACACACACACACACACACACACACACACACACATACCTGTCCATGGTGTTGAACACCATCCACACACAGAATACCCATCCTAGGTGCCGAACACTATCCACACACAGACATACCTGTCCTTGGTACTGAACACTACTCACACACACAAAAACACTGCCTTTGGTGCTTAACACCATCCACAGACACTACTGTCCTTGGTACTGAACACTATCCACACAAACACTACTGTCCTTGATGCTGAACACAATCCACAGACACATAATACCTGCCCTTGGGGCTGAAAACCATCCATACACAGACAAACCTGTCCTTGGTGCTGAACAACATCCATGCACAAACAAATCATACTTGTCCTTTATATTTTGAACTCTATCCTAAGGCTTGTCTTTGACACTACAGATTTTAGACAGCAGACAGATATTTGACTGCTGATCAAAAATGTTTCTATTCAAATAAGCTTCCTACAAAATGGAATTAAATTAACAAGAAAGTCTTACATCATCCATACAACTGATTTGTAACAGATATCATGAATACAAACTTTTCATTCCAGCTTCTCTGATTATGTTGTTTGCCCTGATGCCAAGCTGCTACTGAAGGTACCAGACTCCTTATCCATGGACACAGCCTGTCTGCTCCCCTGCTCAGGGTTAACCGCCTACAATGCTGTGACCAAGATTGTGCCCACTGTGTCTGACTTTGCAAGGCACTCAGGTACAGTGTTTTAATAAAGCTTAACCTTCTCCATACTCTCTTAGCCCAAAGTCAACAGAGTATAGTAACCAGTTGACTACATCTGGATGTATCTGTATCTATGTAGCCAGTATAATATAAACGACCCTTTAGCATAACACACCGGCTTCGCAAGCACACGGCACGGTGGCAGCTGGCTAACTGTAAACATTGTTTAAAGCTATCTAAAGTAAAGATATGCCACTACTGTACTTGGTAACAGCAAGTGATGTTTAAAACATAGCAAAGGGGTGGTACACATATCCATTTCTGTAGCCCCTGAACCACACAATTGTGCAAGCACTACAGCAGGGGGCTAGGCCACTGGTAGTGTTGTGTGTTTGACCTTACCATACTCTTTCTCATAGATACTGAGTGCTAAACAGAGAAAGTAGTATGTACCATTTTTAAATTATTTGGTGTGACCTGGCAGGGGTTTGAATTCACAATCTCTTGGTTACAAAACGAGCACTGTACTCAATTGTGTAAAAGTGTGATCTGATTTGTATTGTACACATAAGTGTGTTAAAGGTTAATTGAACTGATAAAGCTTGATACAGTATAATTTTATGCATTCACTTTCATAGTGGTTTTATTTTGAGATTTTTGCTAAACGGAAAATCATGATATGGGAATATGTGTTTTGTAATACTTATTGTACTGCAGCTGCTTTAACATTATTTTTGCAAACCTTAAATTTATACATAGTGAAAACCTTCAACCCCTTTCCTCATACCCAAAAATGATGTCACCATGATTGTAAATGATTGTATTTACAGCAGTTTTTTGGTGGTGCTAAGGATTCAAAAGTATACTCCTCCTGTTTATAAACATTGATTCTTTTCTGTTCCAGACAACTGTGCTGTACTCCTAGTAGGTGCAGGTGGCCTCGGTCTGTGGGCTGTTCAGATTGCCAAACAACTGCTGCCCTCTAATGTGCGTTTGGTGTGTGCTGATGTTGATGTAAGTTGCCTGCATGTGTTTTTCTGTTCTTGTTGTTACCAGCCCCAAAGTCTGAACTACTGAAGCTTTGTTCGAAGATTGAGTAATTTAGGTTTTTACAAGAATTGTTGCATTTTTGTGTACATGTAATTAATATCCAGAAAGTGCATTTTTTTCTAGACCATATTATGCTTTTGATCATAATCTAGATTACCTAATATGCATCGAAAGCCTTTGGAATGAGTATATATAATAACAACGACAATATATTAAGTTTAAAGTTAAAACTTTTGGTCCAACACAAAAAATTCTCTCACCTAGAACAATCAATCAATCTATCAATATATCTATCAATCAACCAATCAATCAATCAACCAACCAATCAATCAATCAATATTTTGGTCTGTATCTATATTGACCTGTAGGTTGACAAACTGGCTTCTGCCAAATATGCAGGTTGTGATGTGACTGTACACTGGGGAAAGGGTAAGTAGAGACAATTTTGTAGACAATCAATATGTTAAATTTCACTGTACATATTTTTAAGCCTTCAGTTTGATAAAGCTGAAGAAACCAGCAGAAGGAAATTTGTTTTGAATAAAGAAATTACAGATGGGGTCATGGCTGCATGGTGCATTATCCAATATATGGGGAGAGACAATTGCCAATAAAAACAGTAAATACGTTACTAAGGCCACACCAATTTAATTTGTTGGTTCTCGGATTTGCCTCTTCGTTTTTTTCTGATTTGCAAAAAAAAAAAAAAAAATTTGATTCTGGTCCTGAATCAACTGAAAAATGCTCATGTTTTGCCCCCAACAGTTGAGGAAAGTCCTTTTCTTCCTAGTTGTTACAGTTTTCCCATCTATCATTGCAGTGGTTTAATTAAAAGTTCAAAATTCAATGTTTAAATTTTAACCCAGCCTTTTGTGTTGACTTCATGGCTCATTCCATAGCATTTAAGCCTATAATAGGATGCCTAGACCTGTTTTTATTTATTTATTTTTTTTCGCCCTGTCGCTTCATATTTTTTCTGAAAAAATCCGAGAACCAACAAATTAAATTGGTGTGGCCTAAATACCACAAAACATAGATTACGCACTATTGTGACTGCGAGACCCATCAATAAGCCTCTCATTTTAGTTCTTATTCCAAAAAAGGTCCACACATGCATCAATTGGTGTACAAGATAGGTGTCATCATCTTAATCTGGTAGCCTGGGTGTCATCCTCTGTAGCTACCACTGGCTTTCTATTGTCAATAGTTGACATGGAGCATGGAGGATGGCACCCAGACCCGAGTCTCAGAGGTCTTTAATTTTAGACCAGGCGAAAGTCAATCCACGGTCAGATGTCATCCCTAAAATAAAATCAGCATGGTCTAATATGTTCTACATATTAACTTTTCTTTCAAATACTTTCCAGGCTCTGAACGCTCCTTGCTTGCTGCTACCAGAGAAGCCTGTGGGACATCCCAGTCTGCTGTAGCAGCCATTGACTTCGTCAACTTGCCTGAAACGTTTAAACGTGTGGAAAGGGTTCTTTCTATGGTAGGCTGTTGGACAGCATAAGGATAGGGATATTTTAGCAATGAAAAAATATCGAAAGCCAAAGTATTATTTGCGCCAAATGTGGGACATGTCTTTAAATTAATAGTATAGAATATAACCATCCTTAAGTGGTGTCCTCTTGACATAAAATAAATATTTGTCTTGTATTTCAGTAGGTTCAAAATTGTTTCAACCATGATCTTCCAATACTGCAAAAACCTCGTCCTTTTCAGACAATAATTTTATATCACCGCAAAATAAAACCACAGCCACAGCAAAAGTTAAAATGCATTTCCAGCATTTCCTACACTGTAAGTAACAAGATGCTCATGCTTAAATGGTAATGGACTGAATACTGGATATACCATTTGTGACGTACAAACTGTATTATAGCATAGTTTAACACACTGTTTCATCCCCAGGGTGGCATACACGTCATGGTTGGCATCATGGCAAAGCCTGGAGTTCTGGGCACCATCCCTCTGACTCCCTTTGTGTTGATGAAGCACACCCTGACTTCAGTGGCAGTGGGGAGTGTGCAGCAGCTCAGGGAAGTCATGGCTCTCGTGGCAAGGGGGAAGGTTAGTAAGAACATAACATGTCAAAACTTTTGGTCCAACACAAAAAATTCTCTCACCTAGAGCTTTCGACCAGTCACTCTGGTCTTCCTCAGTACACTGACCCAGTGAAAGCTGGTCAAAAGCTCTAGGTGAGAGAATTTTTTGTGTTGGACTAAAAGTTTTAACTTTAAACATGTAACTACCAACACAGATGAACTTTCATAATAGTATAAGAACATGACATATATGCTGGGCAGATGTCACTATTGCATTGCACAGTGGAGTACTCTAAGTTAATATCTTTGAAAATCATTTTTTTCTTTAAAATTTTGGTCCTGTTTGAAGACTTGAAGGCTTGAAAGAGCAGGTAGGGTCTAAACTTTTCTGTTAAGTGGGCATAATAACCTGAGTGATGAGGTCTTACTTGCCCAGAGCAGATGGAAGAATGAGAGAATTAGCTCAAAAGTAGGGTTTGTTTACTGTTGTCAGAGTTTAAGTTTCCTTTCAGAATCTATATTTTGGAGACAACTTTGTGGTTCTCTGGTGCAGAAGAATATCTGTGGATGACAAAATTTGTACTTTCAAGAGGAGTTGTTTCTTTGTAAAAACATCATGTATTAGAAGATTATATGACCAAACGTTAAACAGTACTGTCTGTTGTGTAATTGTCATATAATCACAAAGTAAAGACATTCTTGGGACAGTCATGCATGTGTCTTAAAAAAAATTTAGCCATCTTGAAAATAAGCAACATAAAAAGGCCATCTTAGATCTTTCTTGATGTTGGTTTTGTTCCAGCCTGCCTGAAAACAAAGTCAAAGCATCATCAGTCGCTTGACAACCTACCATAAAGTTGACCATGCCATAAAGGACATGTACCTTGTGTTTACTATTTGTATGCTCTGTTAAACCTTATGCTTAGTACAACACTCAAGAGACAGGGAAAACAGACATTAAGAACCTGATAGTGAGTGATTGCTTACAAGACATTATATGATATAAGCCTACATTTGTAACTGTACAGAAATTAGGTCTAGAGATGTGAATTATATCCTAAGATGCCCATTGGATGGAAATTTTCTTGCTAAAATCGTAATACACAGCTGACGTTCCTTTTTTAGATAAAGCCACCGCCAATTTCCCATCATCCCCTGGAGAGTGCGTGGGATGTCATGCAAAGGCTGAAGGCTGGAAAGGTCAAAGGTCGTGCTGTCCTGAAGCTGGCAAAGTTGTGATGAAGTGTCAGCTCAGGATAATGAAATAAAATTGATGAAAAAAAGCAGTACCCTAATTAAGCGAGCCACCAGTACTGATATTTTACTGTCAGCAACTGATCAGTTACTAACAGTCTCTTTTCAGTAACATATTAGTATGATAGCTAAAAATGACCTTGCAATGATAAGCAGCATCTGATGCCCTGAGCAGAATGTCATTTATGTCCTTCTCTTGCCCTCCTATTTAGTGTCTTTCAGTGCATTTTCTACTGAAAAAGTCAAGGTGCATATTTTCTTGTAGAGCTAAATTTTATTGATTATCCTGTCTAACCATGTATACATGTATGAATGTGCACGTGTTTAAGTAAGAATTAATAAATCAGACCATATGCAAACTTGGTAAACATTATGCATTTGCTTTGCAAATGTTACCTTTCTAGTTACAAATTGTTCGCGTTGACACACTGATCATGACTCCACTCAGTGTAAGTTGTGGCTGGATGGGAGAATATTTTTGAATTAGCGTCTCGGTTATAGAATGACATATATTTGAGTCTAATATGTTATCTAGTGCCAGTTGAGGTGCATATGTGCGCATTACATTCTCAACTGTACTGGAAGGTTGCGGATATAAGAGAGGGGACTGCCTAGACTTGTTATCAGGACAACTAACACCTAACCTTTACATCAACGAAGGATTAAATCCGGTCTTATGCCTCTTAAAGCCACACCTTTTCTGTATTTTATCCTGCAATATTTGATGTTACCTTTGACATCGAAATGAAACGAAACGAAAGGACATATATTTGAGTCTGTTATCTAGTGCCAGCTGAGGTGCATATGTGTGCACTACATTCTAAACTGTACTGGAAAGTGAAGTAAATAAGAGAGTGGGCTTCCTAGACTAGTTAACAGGAGAAGTACCGCCTAACCTTTACATCAAAGAAAAATGTAATCCGGTCTTATGCCCCTTATATTATAGCCACACCTTTTGTGCATTTTATCCTGCAATATTTGATGTTATCTTTGACATCGAAATGAAACGGAACAATATATCAGTTGTCCCAGTATCTGGGCAATGTGCAAGATATATATTTTGAGGAAACTTTATCATAACGTAAAAAATTTTATAACCCGAATAATGCAGGGATTTGGGCATTTTTTTCTCAGCGCATGTCTGTTTTCTATTCTTTCTGAGAATATCTGAAGTCGTCAAAAGTTTTTTTTTTTTTGTATTTTTTACGGAGACATTTACGTAGCCTTTTTTCAGCATTTCAATCTTATGAAAACTTTTATCAGTAATCCTCAGATTGCTTTGGTCCAGATGGGAATGGGACCTTCCAAGTTCCTTTCATTATTCAAGGTAGTGTTTACAAAAATCTTCATAGTCAGTTCGTGGGTGTAGAAACAGCTACCTACCCGTACTCGGAATAAAAGTTCAATTTGGCTACCTTCTCTGAGAAAAGAAGACGTAAAGACGACAACAAAGTTTCATTTTTTTTTTATCTAAGCTGAATGAAAGATAGACACAAAGCAACAGAAAAGAAAGGCAGGAAAAGGTTGAGCTTATGTGGCATAAGTACGGATTTGAACATCCTTTGATGTGCAACGTGTCGAAGTACTTTTATTGTTAACTAGTCTGGACCGCCCAGTATCAATACCCTTCACCTACCTCTGCAGTTGAGGATTGGTGGTAGACGGATAGGAGGTATTTGGTGGAGTTGCCGTGTACTGCTCTACGTACGTGTACCAAGTCAGCGGGTACCACTTTTTATTTTATCCTGGACTCCTGGCTGATGAAGGTTGAACAAATGTCACAGAATATGGTATGCCAAATAATCTACACTTCAAATCTATTTCTTTACATTTTCGTTTTATTTTGGCATTCTACGACATTGGTATCGTTTTTAAATATTCTTTTTGCAACTTACGGTATATATTTGCTCATTTTGCAACTGTTTTGTACGATTTGCAGCATGGTTGAAAATTGGATTTTTTTAAACATCCCAAAATTCATGCGCGAGCGGATGTCATCCATATAATCAAATCAACATGGCCTTATCAGAAAACAAAATGCTGATGGGTAGAACTCAGATTGTACCCGTCACATTGTCGGTCCTATACTTGATTGTTTTGAAATTATTATATTGCAGAAACGAGTTTATCCCAAAGCATATCCTATGATGGCAAAAATATAGTTTTGCATATTTTGATTTGCAGTAGGGCTATATTACATCTATGTTTTTCAACAAACACCTCCATTGCCAAACCACACCTAGACGCAGCATCACAGCTATTATTTTAGTCCTAAAAGACAATGTAGGAAACTCCAGCTTATAATTGCATACACTTGACTTTTCACACACAGAAAATGTTCTGCAGATTGTTCAGCCTTCTGGTTCTTCTGCTGAATCTGTTGGTCTTGATGGGAAGCGGTTATAGAACCGCGTCCACGGTCTGTTCTTACTGTGCCCATTCCAATGACTGTCGTGACAAAGGCCTCAAGAGGGTTCCACCAGACCTACCCACAAGTGTCGATTGCCTGAGGTGTAACAAAAACGCCATCGTATCCATAACTCAGTCTGACTTCTCCAGGTACACGCAGTTAAAAGTGATTGATTTGTCTTATAATAAACTAACCGTTATTCAGAATGGAACGTTCAGAAACCATCCCCAGCTTTATTGTTTGGAAATACTTGCAAACCAAATAACTGATATTAAACATGCCGCATTTTCAGATCTACCAAAGCTTTATAAATTAGCCCTGATGGTTAACAAAATAGCAAACATTCAACATGACTCATTTTTAAACCTACCCGAGCTGGAGCATTTGTACCTAGGATATAACGAGATAACAAGTATCAAAAAGGGCACATTCTCAAATCTACCCCAACTTTTTAATTTGGGCTTGTTCAATAACAAGATATCTAATATTGAACACGGTTCATTTTGGAATTTACCCAAGCTTGCCGGGCTGCAGCTTTATAATAACCGGATAAATAATATTAAACCTGGTACATTTGCAAACTTACCAAATCTACAACTTTTGGATCTGAAAAACAACAAAATCAGTATCGTTCAGGGTGGAACATTTTCAAATCTGCCGAAACTGAAGAAACTGTTTCTAAACAATAATCAAATCACGATTCTGTCAGAATATAATGAGCTGATGTCGATTGCAAATGTATACCTTGAGAACAACCCATGGCAGTCATCATCATCATAGCTTGTCGCTATTTCTCTCAGCAAAAGTCCGAGCAGCTTCACTGGCCTCCTGGAGGTCTGAGTCTGTGCAGGTCGGCGAGAGTCTGCAGTTTCTCATCAGGTGTTGTAGGGTTTGGGGGTCCTCGCCACAGCTGCAGGCTGCACTGTTTGACTTTCCCCACCGTAGCAGGTTGTCAGCTGTCCTTGCAACCTTCGCCCTTGCCCGGTTCAGGGCGACCCAAGACCTTCTAGGCATGTCAGCCCCTGGAGGCAGGGACTCGCTGGGGGGTGGGAGTGCCCTGTTGTTGTTCGGGTCATTTCTCTTCCACAGATCGGCCCTGAGGGACTCTGGTGTCTTCCCCTCGAGGCCTTGGACAGTCATGAAGCTCCGGCGGGACCTCAGTCGCCGGGGTGTCTCCTGGTGCCCGTGTAGAGGGTGTCTTGGGTCGTTCTGTTGTTTTTCCCGCTCTGTCCTTGCTTGGACATCTCTTCGGATGCCAGGAGGGCAGATTCCTGCCAGTATGTACAGGGCTGACAGGGGGGTAGCCTTCAGGTTGCCTGTGATGGTACGACAGGCTCTGTTCAGTTCCACGTCGACCTTGTGGGCATGGGGTGACCTCTCCCATACTGCGGCGCAGTACTCAGCAGTGGAATAGCATAGGGCCAGCGCTGTCTGCTTGAGAGTGTTTGGGTCTGCTCCCCAGCTGGAGTTAGCGAGGTTGGACAGAAGGTTATTGCGAGAAGATACCTTCTTCCTGAGCTTGTTGACGTGTTCTTTAAAGGACAGGGTCCTGTCTAGGGTTACACCGAGGTACACCGGGTGGGGCGTGTTTTCAAGTTCTTCCCCTTCCCACACAATCCTGAGCTTTCTTGATGCAGCGTGGTTGTTTAAGTGAAATGCACAGACCTGGGTCTTCCCTGGGTTGGCATTCAGGAACCAGGATTTGTAGTACCCCGAGAGGGTCTTCAGGGCATCTGTGAGGCGCTTCTCGATGGTTGGGAAGCTTTTTGCCTGTGTGGCCAGGCAAAGATCATCTGCGTAGATGAACCGTCTAATGTTGTTGAAGGTAGGCTGATCATTTGTGTAGATATTGAACAGCATTGGGGCTAATACTGATCCTTGGGGGAGGCCATTCTTCTGAGCTCTCCACCGGCTGCGCTTGCCATCCAGTTCGACGAAAAATCGTCGGTTTGTTAGGAGTGACTCAATAATGCGGACTACTCTGACATTCTTGATCATGCGGGCTGCTTTGGTTAGTAGGGCTCGGTGGTTTACAGTGTCGTATGCAGCCGTGAGGTCAACAAATACAGCACTTGTTACCAGCCTCGCTTCAAAGCCGTCCTCAATGAACTGCGTGAGATTCAGCACTTGTCCGCAGTATGACCGCCCTTCTCTAAACCCGCACTGGTCAGGGGTTAGGTGCTTCTCAACTGTGGGCTTGATGCGGGTCATGATCAGACGTTCATACAGCTTGTACAATATACATAAGAGCGATATTGGTCGGTAGCTTTTGGGAAGGTTTGGATCTTTGTTTGGCTTCAACAGAGCTATAACCTTTGTGTGTCGCCAGATCTTTGGTAGTTGTGTGCCGTTGGCACAGTTGTTGAACAACGCTACCAGCCAGTCAAGGGACTTACTACCAAAGTGCTTGATCATCTCGGAGCTGATTCCGTCTAGTCCTGGTGCTTTACCAAGCTTGAGATGTTTCAGGCCATCAAGAAGCTCTTCGTGGGAGAGAGGTAAGAACATTTCGTCGCTCTCCTCGAGGATGCGGCTCATCTCCTCTTTCATCTTTTTCACATAGCCGCGCTCCTTGTTCAGAGGTTTCCCATTGTCTAGTAACTGTTTGGCAACTTGGTTTGGAGTCACTGCTGAGATGCGTTGGTCTGGTTCCTTGTCGGAGTTGAGCTTTTTGATGGTCTTCCAGGCCTTCTTACTATTATGAGTCATGTCCAGTCCGTCGATGGTTTCTTGCCACCGTTCCCTTCTTGCGTCGCTGAGAGATGCAAGTACGTTTTCGCCAAGCTCAATAGTTTCCTCAGCAAATGGGTTACTTTCGTAGGCGTTTGTGTATCTGGTGTACATTTCTTTGCTGGATTCAGTCAGGCCAGGAATATACTGCTTTCTGCAGCCACGGGGAATGTTGTTTTTTGCGGTTTTCCATACCAGTTGGCGGAAGGATACGTAGCCCTCAGGGGTTGGGTCTATGTCTTCTATTCCTGCTTCCAGCTCCTCTGTGAAAGCTTCCCAATTAGCCTTACGGTAGTTGAATCTTGGCTGAGGCTTCCTGTTCGTGGTAGGGTTGATGACAGGAGTAAGATGCACAGTGATGGGTCTGTGTTGGGACTTGGGTATAGGATTGCTGACTGACCGTTGGAAGTTCTGGCGGTATCGAGATGATACAAAAGCCAGGTCTGGATTGTATCCTCGGCGCCAGCGAGCACTGTGAAAGGATGGTTTGTCCTTGGCTCTATTTAAGAGTACCAGGTCCGTGTCCGAAGCCCACTCTTCGACGAGTTCACCATCCTTATTGGTGGTGCTGTAGCCCCAGCTGGTGCTGTGGCTGTTGAAGTCGCCGATGACCAGGTGTACGCCATCGTTAACAGGGAGGTCTTGGGGCCACTTGAACGGGACATTGGGGGGCTTGTAGACGCTTGTGATGGTTAGCTTGTCAGTTTTGACTCTTAGTATTTTCCAGTCCATTGGCAGAGTGATCAGAGCTGCCCTTTACAATGGTTTTGTCTCGATGTAGATGGCGCTTCCATGGACAGGGCTGCCATGGAATGTCACAAGGTTCATGCCTGGGATCTTCAAGGGCGCAGTTGTCTTGTGTGTTTCTTGAAGGCACAGAACATCGGTATCCAGTTCAGCGAGCAAATCTTTCTTTGCCGCTGATAGGCCTTCAGTGTTGAAGCTTGTTATGTCGAACTTCATCCTTGGGGCCGAGGGGCTATCCTTTTACCACCACCGAAGGATGTAGAGGTTGAGAGAAATAAGCGAGGTGTAGCAATTGGTCTCCGCAAGCGGATTAACAGGGGCACCACGTGAAGGTTTGCTACTCGCCCCCATGGCAGTGTGACTGTAGGATGCTCCCCTTCAGACAAAAGATGGTTGGAAAAGTTTTTGTGGACCACATCATATGTGAAAAGCCCAGTCGTTTTTTAAGGCGAAAGCTTAAAGATATAAACCCCGATGATCTGATATGTGACAAACCACAAATAGTAACGTTCAAGATGACAAATGGAAACAGGCCAGTGTTACAGGGGGAGACACTCTCTCTAAAGTGTGACGTTTCGGGAATTCCGTCTTCAGACATCACAGTCACTCTCCCTTCTGGGAGGAATGTAACTGTTGAGTCAGTTGGGAGAGTGACTGTGGAGGCGAATGGTACAGTCATCATACAGGACATTGCCGCTACAGATTCTGGTCTGTACGTCTGTTTGGCAGCGAGTTCTGGTGGCTCCACGTCTGCCAACCTGTCTATCTACGTACAAGGACCATCATCTGTAAGCCCCACGTCAATTCACGTACAAGAAGCAGCATCTGTAAGCCCCGCAAAATCCTTTAGATTTGTACGTGGCAATGTTGCTGACAAAGCAAAGTTTTACCTTTATGGTGGTATTGGGGCTGCAGGGGCATGCCTGGCATGTTATATTGTCATTGAAATGTGCCATAAGCGACGTATCAAGAAGCAGCGTCCTCTACCATCAGTATCCTCTGCAATTTTCAACAATGTAGGAACAGTTGTGACATTGCCCAAAAGTAACTATGGGTTAGGGGGACAGGGGGTACATTTCAGCACAGGGACATCCCGACTGGCAGATAGAATTGCAACAAGCACTAAAAATTTAGATGGTCAGGGCAGGTCCCCAACCCTAGGAACAGGGGCTTTGTCTGGGGATCAAAATCAAATTTATGAAAATGACGATGAAGCAGATTTAAATGTTGATTCCTTATATGAAAATGACAATGAAGTGGTTGGTACTGTGTTTGTACATTTGTATGAAAATTACAACGTGCCAGTTGCTCCTACATCTGGGTTACACATAAATGAGTATGAAAATGATGATGAATTAGCATCGCCAATCTCGTCCGCATCTGGTTCACACATAAACCCATATGAAAATGACAATGAGGATGAGCCAGTTGCTACTGTATCTGGCTTACAAATGAATATGTATGAGAATGACAGTAAAGTAGAGGAAGGTGGTACTGTACCTGTAAACGTGTATGAAAATGACAATGAAGTAGAGGAAGTTGGTACTGCATCTGTTAATGTGTATGAAAATGACAATGAAGTAGAGGAAGTTGGTACTGCATCTGTTAATGTATATGAAAATGACAATGAAGATGAGGAAGTTGTTAATGTACCTGTAAATGTGTATGAAAATGACGAAGAATTAGAGTGCGATGATACTGCACCTAGAAATGTGTATAAAAATGACAATGAAGATGTGATGATTTCTCATACATCTGGGTCACACATAAATGTCTATGAAAATGACCATGAATTAGTGTCACCTGATCCCGGATCTGAACTGCACGGAAACGAGTATGAAAATGATGATGAGGATGTAGCATCTATTCACTGTGTAGCTGTGCAACATTCATACGTGTATGAAAATGATGACGAAGTATTCATTGAGTCTGTAGTTCAAGAGCAAACCGATGTACATGAAAATGGTCATGAGGAATTAGCATCTACATTTGTGCTTGAGAATGACCGTGGCAGAATGATGTGTAATGATGTTGAAGAGGGGACTGACGTTGATGAGTATGACAGCGACGATGAGAAAGCAAAATACGCCTCTTCTAAGTCTGTTTATGACAATGAAACTAAGAAAGCAGCCTCTGCTACTGTTCAGCCTTTGTATAAGAATAACACATCTGTAGAAGGGACTTCCACGTTAATCTATGGGAAAGACACGGACGAAACAGCTACAGCTGCTAACCTGTATGTGACCACTAATGTGGATTTGGACAAGGAATATCTATGACAAACTGTACAGAAATTTGTACAGCTGAATAATGCATCGGTATTACTTTAAAAATTTTTTGAATGAAATGTATCATTCTTGTTAATAACATATCAGAAATACTAAAACGTACATTAACCACAGATAATAAAGGCATTGGATAAATCATGAAGGTAAAACTCCAAGAATAGAATGTTAGAATGCATGAATGCATGAATGAATAGAATTAAATGTTAACAACACTATGCATATATTATGTTAATATAGAGGCAATTTGTATAATTAATGAGGACATGTTTTAATGAAATATTGCCAATATTGTAAGTTGAGTTTAGAACACCATAAATTAAACTACATTATATTAATTGCCACCTTATTTCCATATTCAATGATACAAATCATTTACATAAACTCTACATATTTCATGGAGGTATGAAATCTCGGAATTCTTGTTGGTGATTGCGTTCTATGTACATCAACAGTGGTATAAGTATACTAATCTGTACATGTTCGGCTTCTCGTTTTTTAAGACAGTTGTACGTGTAAGAATGATGGAAGTTATAATACATGGTTAATAGAGTTGTATAAGGAATATGCATTTTTCTCCCTCTTTAAATATTTAAAAGCAGGGAACTTTTTGTATACCTTTAAAGAGTACATTTCGATATTATCTAGATTGGAATATTTGCAAATTCTTTGTTGCAAAGGAATGCGCTTGTAACTACATTTTTAACATGGAGTTTGTGTAAACTTATCTGGAGTTTTGTGATGGTTATTCTTTGTCGTATGTTTGTAATGTTGTACGTAGTTTGTTTGTTTGTTTATTTGTTTATTTGACTTTACCACCAGATATACAAATAGAAGGGAGGACAAAACAGGTGCATTGACACCTTTACAAGTTGTCCTTCCAAGCACAACATACAAAATATAAATACAGATTACACCATTAAATACAAAACAAATTGCAATAATGAACATCCTTAACATCACATATTGTACATCAAACATCAAATATACTACATTAAACATCAAATACTGTACAAAGCAATATCAAGCTAATAGTTTTAAATACATCTGTAACTAGACCAATCTTTAGTATTATTTTGATTTAGTTACATGGCCATGGTAATATCAATCAATCAATCAATCAATCAATCAAATGGTTTATTTGTAAAAACAAAACCTTGTAGCCATCAGCTAAATTGTGTCTTGCTTTACAATTTTGATTTTTGACATATCTGGCATAACACACTAAAATTACCAGTTAATCAATAAAATCCATATCATTATACATTGACATACTTAAAAATAACAGTTACAATTTAATATTGAAACTAACAATTACAAACATATATTAAGTACTAACACAAAAATATACAAAGTAAATGAGACTAGAGGACAGACTAACCACCCTAGAAATATCATACACATATGCGTGGCTATATTCATCTGATTATCCATCTTTCTACGGCAAAGCGAACTGAACTCTTCAAACGACGTATCATCTTTCTATAACTAACTCTTCATCTCCTTATCCATCTTTCTATGGCAAATCGAACTCCTCAAATGACGTTCCGTACTCTTCAATCGTGTGATATTTCTCTTCAGCATTGAAGGCCCTGTAGTAAACATCATCGAAGAAAAAACCGTGGTATTTCTTTTTATAATTGTCGTGCCTCGGCTGAAATTTGAGCCTGTTCACATACTCGTAGGCCAGACCTTCGTCGTACCGCTGGGTTTGCATGTATGCACCTCCGGAAAGGTTGTACTTCTGATCCACAACGTAGTGCCATTCGTCGAAATAGTCTACAGGTTTGGCGTGTAAAGTCATTTCGATTCTGTGCCAGACACTGATATTCAGTCTTTCGGCTATGTAAAAGTAGTGCCCAGTGGGACAGTTCTTATGTAAAGCGCAGTATTCATAGCTAGGGTAACTGTCCGCAACTCGGATATGGAGGCCTTTAAACCGGGCTCCCCTTTGTTCTGGTTCCGCATAGATTTCGAGGTAGTTTGAAGCTCTTTCATTCCCTTGAGGATTCCCTGCTACTACAGCAATCTTGGACTCATCAAGCTTAGTGTTGGCAAGTTTGAAGAAGAAGGAAGCGTAGAATGAGTCGGCACCTGCTGTGTAATTCCCGTCCGTTCTTCCTGCTGTGGTGTTTAAACCAGGGGAGAAGGGCGTCCCTCCTTTCTGAGTGTCGTAACCTCTCTTGAAGTGCCAGGAGAAGTTGCCGCTGTGTTGTTCCACGTTGCTGACGGCCTGGCCGACGTCATTTCTGTTGCCCGGACACTGCGGGTTGTATACCCGGAACGGGAAGCGGTCTCTCTGTCTACAGTCTCCTAACAGACTCGGTCTCTCCCCGGCCGACCAGTCTCCTCGGGTGATGGAATCACCAAGTTGCCAGTCCGCCTCGACGTTTTCACCGAGGAACACTGTACAGTGAAAAAAAAACAACAACTGAAAAGGTATCACTTGTTAAGAAAGTCCCTAATCAACAATCTACAGTACTTGGTAGGCTCTATCTTTACTGTACACAACATTTCTGAACATTTCTTAATATGTAACATTTTACTTAGAGGAACACACGCGCCCAGGTACAAACTGTAACATTTTGACAATCATGCAAACTACGTTATTGATACTAAACGGTTTGTATTAGATTAACCCCGTACATTTATTGATCCATTTCCACCCATTTGCTGTTCTCTGTTGTTTTTGTCACTGACTGTGTACTTGTATGGTTGGTAGTGAGCTTTACACTGCACGAAAAGTTGGATTTACCAAAGGTTGTAAACTCAGGTAATGTTTACTATGTACACAGTATCTGGCTTTACAATGGTAGTAAATAACGATCCAGAGCAGTAATTTCCTTTACAGCCCTTGACCTTTATTTACTGCCATTTAAAAAAAAACAAAGTAAACATTACACGACTATACTGGTATCGGTAAGTTTTCGTGCAGTGTTAAATTTAACTCACCACCATGTCCTGTATTATCCATGTCGAATTGAACTTTTACCTGGTCTAGCCTAACCCTGAAGGAAGCAGTTGCTTATCACCATGTTAGTTCAATAATATTTTTAGATTATTTTAAGATTTTTGTTTACGTTTTTTTCTTCTTTAAGTATAAGACACTTTAAGGCATCCAATGCAATTTCAGTGCGTCAAAACTGGATTTTCAAAGTAAATTCTCTGGCCATTAATAAATCAACCCTATCCAATAGCATTCTGATATCTGTGAGGCAAAAATATGATGTCGCTGATATAAACGGTTGCTTCACCTTGTTTCATAATAATAAAATTATCTTAGGCTATGTAGCTACTTCTGGCTACTTCGTGATGCCAAAAAATAAACAGACGTCTCACTTAGCTTAGTTTGGGCCATTTCAAACGCTTTAACCCTATCTAGACCGGGGGGGGGGGGCTAAAAGTGCCCGCGCCAACTTTGATGTCACATAGCGTCTGAATGGCTAGGGCTAGAACCACCAAACTTGGTGACTTTTCCTAAAATATTGTTGGCAACAATTTTCTATCATTGGAATAAGATAATAATTTTTTGTGTTGCCATGGCAACGGGTTTCTGACAGGCATTTTTTGCTAAATTTAGTACTTTTTGTTTCAACAATAGAATTTTATGGGTTTTATGTCAAGTTACTCATGGTTTCTAATATTAATAACATCCCATATGAATTTATGTAAATTTTATCATTAAATATGCATAATTTATGCTAATTTCATGACGTCATTGGCCAAAATCCAAGTAGCGGACCATATCATTAGAACAGGTATATACAAGTTATTTTCCTTAAAATTTCATCAATACTTCCATTTCTTTATCCAAAAAAGGTTAAATGAAGGTCTTTGGTATGTTTAAAATGTATTTTAGGCTTTATCACGAAAAAAAACTATTTTTGAAAATTCAACATTGATGATCCAAGATGGCGGATATCTTAAATATGTATGACGTCATTTTATGACGTCACCGGTGTTGCTATGGGCAACATAAGACTTAGTACACTCTAATATTCTGTCATAAACACTTTTGGTAAAGTTATGTTGAATACCATTTAGTTTTCAGGGAATAGCCTATCTAGACGGTTTTGGCCAATAAAATCCCATTAATGACGTCATAATGACGTCATATTACGTCATAATGACATCAAAATTGTAGATATGATAAATTTTAACTAGTACACCATCCTCTGAAAATTTGGTAGCCATACGACATACCGTTAGCGAGTTCTGAGGGGGGGCCGAAAGAGCCCCCCCCCCCGGTCAAATCTTGCTCAAAAAAGCCCGGTCTAGATAGGGTTAAGTACAACATGATGGTAAATATATGCCAAGAAATGACATTATATTGTATATACATAGATATTAATATCCGTCAGATTTTCTCATCCAGAATATTTTTTCGCCCTGAACTTGCATTGGATGCCTTTAACAGGGGTAATTTGAGATGGTCGAAACATTTTTAAATTTCCGAAAACTAAAATGTTATGATTCACTGATATGAATAATATGGACACTAACATATATACATAACATTATCAATGATGTCTGGTAAAAAACACACTAGCAGTTTTTTTTTTTCCAACTCACCTTTCTCACAGTATGTTCCTGTCCATCCGTTATAACACAAACACCTGAAGCCTGCGGGCACCAACCAGCAATCTCCGTCATTCTCACAAGGGTTAGTTGGACATAGGCGGTCTGGAGGCAACATAATGTTATAGTAGTAAAACGTTGAACTTTATTCCAACACACACAGTTTACAAAAAGATCAAATTTTCAGCGACCACTGTTGCCCTCATCAAACTTTCTAAGAGGCATTGAGGAAGCCAAATATATCAGGGAACTTAAGCCTAGAGATGGTGGACGATATAAACTCCCTGGCACTTTTGCCTAATTGCTCGCGTCACGTATCAGTAAAGTCTCGTGTGAATAAGGTCAGGTGTTTGCAACTGTAACTCTCGCGAGATCACGTTGTGAAGTGAGTGGTCATTAATTATCCTGAAGAAGGCGACAGAAAATTTGATCCCTGTTTAAATTGTGTATTGGAATAAAGTTCAACGTTTTACTATTATTACTACCAACACAGATGAACTTTCATGATAATGTTATAGTGTTGAGAACATAAGGAAACTATGTATTGTAACCCTAGAAGAAGTCAGGATTTCTGCGACAGTTTCTATTTCTTTATACAGCTCTTTTATCATGCTTACCAAAGAATTTTTATGTTTTCCTCTCCTTACCTTAGATTTTCCTCTGTTTCTTCAGTACCACTATTTATGACTGACAAAGGTGTCTGACAGGGGTGTTTTAACTTGAGCCCCACTCATGATTTAGTTGGGGTGCATGACACCTAATTTACACAATCTATATGTTTCTTCTTCATTGTATGTTGATGATGTTGTAATGATTTATAAAGATTGATAAGCGGGTACTAACATATGAACTCTTCGCAGTTCCTGCCTCTCCATCCCTCCCTGCACTCGCACGTGTACCCGGGAGCCTCGTCCCGACACGTGCCGTTGTTTTGGCACGGGTTAGAAGCACAGAAGTTACCTGCAACAATATGGTAGGGTTTGTCGTGGGGTCGTGTGGCGTAACGGCAGTGTGTTCAACTCAGACCAAGATCTTAAGTGGTCCCGGGTTCGAACCCTGCCATACCACCGATCTTATGCCCTTGGGAAAGGCACTTTACATGGCTTCCTTAACGTGAAAATGAGCATTGTCTATTGTCCTCTGTGTTGGTTCCGGCATAAAATAAGTTAAAAGAATGAAGTGGGCCGTCACAACGCCTTGTGATGACATGAATTGAAACTGGTAGCAGCTTTTACTAGAAAGGTTCTTATACAACATGTGAATTGTTAAAACTATACTGTCGGAATGCACCGGTCCCTTCAAAAACTGTAGCAAGAATTCTAAGTTCAGTTCAACTTTATTTAAAACCCTGTCCATACCATGCCTATGGTATTGTATGAACTGAAATAAAGATAACTCTACCATGCGCTATCTAAAAGGCTTAGCCTGTATTAGGAACTTACTGATGTCGCAGTGTGTCCCAATCCAGCCGTACCGGCAGATACAGCCGTACCCGTTCACAATGTCAAAACACCTGCCCTGGTTTAGACAGGGCTCCGACACACACTCATCTATGTCTGTGAAATGAATATTGAATGTGCAAAAGTTTGTAATTAGTTTCAAAATCATAATATTTCATGTTGTAATAAACGAATTATGATCAAGGGTTTAGCACACTATCGTTCTTACTCAGAGAAGTCTATTCTTCCATGCTATTTCATCGAATCTGTAAAGTGTGGTAATTGTGTTTACCCTCACGGAAGGAAACATATTGTTCTGGAAGGAAACACATTTGCTCTGTTTCTTCTTTCTCTTCTTCTCTCTTCAAACAAATAAGGGCAGTGACCAGGACCAAACGTCTGTCACCATGGTAACTAGTGTTGTGTTACAACATGATCATCATGCAATTTTATAGCAGGAGGGATTTAAACTCCTATCACCATATATATAAATGTTTTTGTTGTGTAAGAATTAACAGAGCAGACCGTATGCAAAAGTAAACATTATGCATTTGCTTTGCAAATGTTACATTTCTAGTTTTATTTGTATTCGCTATTATAGCTTTGGTGTTTCATGAGTTCAAGAAGACCTTTACCCAAGTCAATACTTTTATTACGAGTACATGTATGTCAGTACAGAATATATCCTCTTATCCCACCTATATCGCAGTGGACGCCCTTCCATCCCGGGTCACACTGGCAGATGTACCCGTTCACTATGTCCAGACATGTGGAGCCGTTCCTACACGGACTGGACGCACACTCGTTGATATCTGAGTGCACACAATTAGCTTTCAACATCATTGAATATTATACATAGTATACATACATTTAAAGTCTCCTAAACATTCCATCTAGCTGATCAAAGTATACACCTTGATCATAGAACGGTACATTTTCGCAATTAAAACAAGAGTTTTACGACCAAATTGACCATTTTGCTGTATTTTACTACTGTTTATTGTTCATCGATTGTACTGTATTGTGTTTATTGTAACAAACTACCCAATTCAGGGAGACTTGTGTCCTTTCCTGCACATGTATGTTTGCGGTTGGAAAACCATAAAGACGTCGTATTTCGAGGTCTCACCAAGGTCTACAGCTACATTTGTAGCTACCAAGATTCATAACAATCCATCAAAAGCTTCGTATCGTTCTAAACCACACACATGCATAAATACCTATACACACACACACACGCGCGCGCGCGCTACGGAAATTATAACCTTCTTGTTGAAGATAATGAAAAAAGCAACACCAAGTCTCAACTACCATCCCTGAATAGAGACGGGGGACGCCACAAACTGTATGCATTATTTGATCCCTGCTCGAGAGGCATTTTGCGTAAGGTTACGTCACAATCATTGTATGTACGTACATGATGTGATGCCCACCTGTTTCACAGTGTGTCCCACTGTATCCATCCGCGCACTCACACGTATAGTAGTTCACCCGGTCATGGCAGGTGGCGCTGTTTAGACAAGGCGAAGACGCGCACTCGTCTGTGTCTAAAAGAAAATGGAAATATTTCTAATCTAACATGACTTTATTTATTATGTTTACCTAAGGAAACCTTATTGTTTTTGCTCCGTTTCTTCCTCTTCTTCTTCTCCAAGCAGTGACCTATGACCTGGCCAATGACATGATTTGTTGACGTCTGTCACCATGGTGACTGGTGTTGGGTTACCTAATGTTGTAATTTCATGGTCTGCTCTGCTCCTTTCACCATTTACTAGTAGTACATGTAAACTATGTGAATGTGATTGAGTAAGAATTAACAGAGCAGACCAGGTCCGGAGCTAAACATTATGCATTTGCTTTGAAAATGTTACTTCTCTAGTTTATTTCATCTTAACTAACACCTGGGTGGTCCTTTCAAAATTAATTGTTGATTATGCAATTGCATGTTGATGTATTGTAATGTTTTATGTATGTACTCCAGTCTCTCCTGGAAGAATAGCTGTCACCCAAAGGTGGGGCATCTAAAGAAGAGTTTTTTTTCACAATAAACCACAACATAAACCGGCGCCAGGGAAACATAATATAATGCAATTTGTTTAAAAAGAAAATTATACAAGTAACATAACTGTCTTACAGTTAGTCAGTTTAAAGCTTTTAACTGAAGTGAAAATTGATGGAGATATGAAATGTGTGTAGAGCTTCATTTGCTGTACAGCTATACAGCTGTGCAGCTATGCCTTTTAGTCATATCTCCGATGCCTGCAATATGTTCTCAATTGGTTTGTAACAGGCTACAAAATGACCCAGCAGATTCATTCCTTGTCAAAAACTGGTGTCGTGCGTACAATCAAAAATTGTGAACCAAGTCTAAAAGTCCGGTTTTGCCGCCACAAGTTTTTATTTTTCATAATGAATTCTACCGACATATCAGACGAAATTTTCAATCAAACACCAAAAGTATGTCTACATGATAATCTAGGAGGGCAAAGCAATGTTATGCTGAGGAACATTTCCAAACCGGGGCCTGGCCAGGCTGTTTTGATTGACTTAAAAATAAACAATATAATATCTATAAAAACGCAAAAAGTTCCATTTTTTTCAATCTTTGTGCTTTGTTGTCTTTTCTATAATACTTTTCATTCCATAATACTGCCCGGCGGGGCCCCGATTGGGATATGTGACCTCAGCACTACGAATGATAATAAACGGACTACTTGACTGACTTATCTCACAGTGGGTCCCCTCCCAACCAGAAGTACAGCTGCAGGTGTAGTAGTTCACCCAGTCATGACAGGTGGCGTTGTTTTTACACGGGCCGGATGCACACTCGTTGATGTCTATATAATCATAGGCAATAGATGAGTCCGTGTAAAATTCATGCGCGCGCGGATGTCATCAATATAATCAAATCAACTTGACTTTATTATAAAAGAAACAAAGATATATAAACAAATAAACTCACTGATCTCACAGTGGGTTCCCTCCCACCCTGGCGCGCACACACAGATGTAGTAGTTCGTTCTGTCGACACAGGTAGCGCCGTTCTGACAAGGGTCCGACAAGCACTCACCTATGTCTAAATATAGCGCGTGATCGTGGGGGAAGTTAGTTAGTCATGTATACATGTTAGTACGAGGTTAGTACCAGGTTTGTTCACGTTGGGTCCAGCAATATCGTGTACAGCACCAGTATAAGACACAGGACCATGCTGGTACTGTTGTGTGCATACTTACCTCACTTACCTATTTCTTTAAAAAAAACTTACAAGTACAGCGACGTACGTGGACGAAGAGAACTGGTTGTTGACGATGTTGGTTGGAGTTTCTGTGGAAGAGTCTGTTGAGCGACCATCGGATGTATCAGCAGCAGCAAGAGACACTGCCAAGCCAGGAACTTGTAGAACAGCCGTTGTGACCGCTGTTGCAGATCGTCTACCACGACGAGAAGAGCCGGAGAACACGTACTGCGTGCGCTAACTGGAGCTGGGTTCCGTCTCTGGAAATGTCTACATGTGGTCCTTGTTTCGTGGCATCCACTATGCAAAAGAAACAAAACAGAAGGAAAAGTATTATACGGATGTTTCAATTTATTCTGGAAAATTTGGTCATTTGAGCCTTTAACTTGTTCTTTGTTGAACGTATATATGTGTACGAGTTGCAAGAGGAATTTAGTATATCCAGAACGTTCGCTTTTTCATATGCATTTTTAAAAGGAGTTTTGTTTTTTTTATCCAGAGCGTTTTGTTTTCATATCCAGAGATACAAGTCATTCTGTATCCAGTAAAGATACTAAAATTAAATTTGTCTTATTAGAGTATGCGTGTACAAAGTCGGAAGCTTGACAATTATGTAGCTTAGTGGATTTTGTCTTGCATTCCATGAATGTTATCTTTCGTTACTGGGACTGACAGACTACACTTGGCCTCCACACGCAAACTGTATCAGGAGTTAAGTGGTAATTACATATTTCCGTGCCATAGAGCACGGAGTTCCATTGTGTTCTGCGGATAGACTAAATTGTACGTGAAAACCACGACAAAACACAGAGTGAATAGATGATGCGGGTCAATATATGCCAAACATGATGCCATTATCATGATTACAGTAACTACAGTAGGTCCCCTAGGGAACGTCAAACGCACATTGAAAAAAGTTGCGTACAATTTGACTCCACTGTCACTTAGTCTTTGTCTTTTTTTAATTAAATGTCTTCTCTGAATATAAAAAAAGGCAAATTGGTGATTCAGGACTATCTGGATTTTTAGTATCTCATTGCATTCCAACGTTTAACTGGTGGCCATATACCTAGTATAATTACAATTACAAGTGCTGGTACTATCGTACTACGTTTCTCTTCTTTATAACACGTGCACATACATTTCTTATGCACTTCAACAAACCCGCCATAAAACAAGCTTCTTTCTTATTACATTTCTATCATTTTGAAGAATCCACAAACTATATACATACATGCCATATTTCAATTCTTCAACCATGTAGTGTTCTTTTATAAAAGTTCATCTGTTTTGGTAGCTACATGTTTAGAGTTAAAGCTTTTGATCCAACACAAAGAAGTTCTAATCTCTCACCTAGAGCTTTCCACCAGTCAGTCTGGTCTTCCTCAGTAGATTTAGTTAGGCTTGTTACGTAGCTTCTTTGAAGTGTGACGTCAAAACTGGATCGAAGGTATCTGGTAGACGATATCGGCCCCCGTCACTGTTGAGTGATAGGCCCTGAAAATAGCAAGAGTGTTATTGCTGTGACCAGTACTTCAAGAAATTCAATCAGTCGTTCTAGGAATGAAATCTTATCGTCATAAAAACATTTGAGCTGAATTTTGAAATAGAGCATAATATTTTTTGAGAATCATTTTTCTTCAATTTAAACCTTTCATGGTATCTATTACCTTGCGTGACCCGCTGTCGTGAGAAAGATGCTTGATGCATTACTGTTGTCTTGGCCAATCGTAGCAGTTAAAAGATGAAGCTAACGGCAAGTCACGTCCTTGTCAAGATCATGGTCAAGTGTAATACTTGAATCATTCTCTATCAATCAAGATCAAATAAGGTATAATAATATTAACTATTCTCTATTAATCAGTATAGATATTATGTTAAATGCGGTTTGAACGTGAATCAGTCTCTATCAATCAACAGAATGAGGCCCACATTCCACTAAGACGGCGCTCTCACCACGCTCTTTCTGCGACCTGAAATTGGCCGGAGCGCGGAGAAAGCGCCAAGGTCGTCTGGGAGCGCGATGAGAGCGCGATGAGGGCGCGAAGAGGGTGCGATGAGGGCGCGATGAGGGCGCGATGAACGCCGTCAGCTCGGCAACTATTTTGAATCGGTTTATACTCTCGCCGTGAGAGCGCGGAAGACGGCGATGTAGCGCAGAGAGAGCGTAGTGAGAGCACGCAGCGGACACAGACAGCAACATTAGAGCTTGCAACAGTCTCAACGATGAGGTCCCCATTCCACTAGGACGGCGCTCTCACCTTTACTCTCTAAAATTGCGACCCTAAAATTTGCCAGCGTTGAGTAGATTGACCCTATTTGGATTTGTTTATACCTTTGATTTCATCATTTGAATATGCGGGATGTACAAGATAAGAATGACTTCAAAAAACAATAAAACACAAAAGTCGTTCTTTATTTTCCGTATTTCGTTGAGTGAGCTGTGAAATTTTTGGTCGCCCACATAAAAAAAAAATTGACATTTCAGTTTTTGGTCGCGCAGGAAGCGCTGAAATGTCGCGGTAGAGACTCCACTTGAGCACGTTTTTCGGCGCTTTCTCCACGCTCTGGCCAATTTCAGTTTGCGCGGCGGGACCACGGTCACTAATTCAGAATCTTACGACGAACAGCAGCCGACCAAGGTTGGCTGAAGCTCGGGAACAGTCTGACTAGATTTAGGCCAGGCAAGGAGCTTAAGCTTAGTTGCACTTTTGTAAAATCTGCCACAGGTTGTGTTTAGAATTAACTTGACAAATAGAACATATTATTTTTTGGTGAATGGCAGTTTCTCTTTGCACAAAGAGTGCTTAGTCTAGTGCGACAATGGCTGTACCAGAAGAGACATGAAAAGACTTAGGATGCCAAGGTTTGTTCCTCTACTGCCTTGTATATGGAAAGCTTTCTGGCAAAAATGAATCAAATTGAAATAAGTAAATAGATCTTTACTTACCAACTTTGTTGCTACGAGCCACGTTGCTTTGATTGTCCGATTTCCTGGGACTGACCCGTGCTAAGGCTCAGTGTTGTGCGCTGTCACCATCGCATCAACACAGCGCAAGCCCCAAGCCAACTGCTTTCCAACAAGCGGACGGTGGTGGATTTTATACATGGTGGGTCACGCTATGTTAACATGTTACCTTGGAGATTTTTGGGTTATGGAAACCAAACATTGCATATGTATTACTGTACATGTGTGCTCAGACCTGTTTGAGTAACAATAGTTATTAATTTGGATCGTTCGTCTTCCATTGTATCGGAAGAAGAAGTCGTAGCCGATAAGTTAGAATTTAGCGTTTAGTAGTTAGAGTTGTCACATACTATATTGTCATCCTTTGTCCATTCTTTATTTTCATGTTACATGCACTTCGAATTAGCCTACGGGCAAGAACTTGCAATTAAACTTTCTATTAATGTGGAACGTGATTATTAAAGGAGTATATAGTACTTAAGTGTCATTTTTAAGAAAAATGTGCAAGTGCATAAAACCGCCTTGGAAATTTTTCAGAGCCTCAAAAAACACAAATATATAATACACGTATTAAATAGTGATGAAATGGCCTTGTCATCATGCACTACACTGTTTAATTAATTTTGTTCTTTGTTGAACTTTCTTTGTTGAACGTTCTTTGGTGTTCTTTGAATGTTATCTTTTGTTACTAAAACTGACAGACTACACTTGGCCTTCACACGCAAAGTGTATCAGGAGTTAAGTGGTAATTACAGATTTTCGTGACACAAAACGAGGGTTTCCATTGTGTTCTGCGGATAGACTAAATTGTGCGTGAAAACCACGATAAAGCACAGAGTGAAGAGATGATGCGGGTCAATATATGCCAAAGATGATGCCATTATCATGATTACAGTAGCTACAGTAGGTCCCTTATTAGGGAATGTCAAACACACATTGGGGATGTTACAGGATGTTCAAGACTTTTCAACATTTCATTGCATGCATTATCGGGTTTATCGACGACTTTCTTAATTGGTGTAAAAAAAAGGTACCAGTGCAAAAAAAAGGAAGCCTGATAAAAAAGCATTAAAACCCCCATAGGCACCCAGTTTTCGACCCAGCCAGAAATGCCAGAGTTCGCGGCCCGCTGGTAGTCTTTGTACCAGAATCACACCTCATAAACATGACCAGACGTAAGTAAGTAGTACAGATTAGACGAGAACCTGATATGTCTGTGTGAATATGTGTCTCTGGATAAAGTTTTGTCAAATTGTTTTAGTCATGCTTTATGTATCCTACTGTGCAATTACACGAATTTTACAACGTAAAATAAGTGAAACTACACGTCCTTATTTGACATATTATATTGGAGGCGTAACAAATACATTTTGCATTTGTAGCCAGTAGTACACTGATTATAAATGACAGAGTCAACTGAAAAAAGAACTCGCAGCCACAAAACTCCACTATATTAGTCAACATTTACCGGAGCCAATGCGATGAACTGCAATGCGAAGTTATTCGCTGTTTTATTTGCCATTGCAAAACCAGTTTTGGAGGCTAAGGACAAGAACTATGACCTTTGAACTGTATTTAAACGCTGTGTCTGTGAAATAGTTTCGGGTTCATTTAATTCGATGTAAACACTGTACAAACCCAGTTGCTAGCGCTATATATAGCCTAACTAAGTTCAACAATTTTCATTTTTGGACCACATGACTTGGAATTGTAGTTACAGTGGTTAAATACGTTTTTTTTCATATTTTTATACAAGCTTTTACAATCATTTTATTTAATTTTTTTTGCTGTTTCTGTAGGACACTATACTGAGTAACTGGCCGAAGCAATGCAGACCAATCATAGAACGCTTTTCAAATCCCGCGAATTTCCAACGC